GTTTGATTCTACAGTGATAGCTTCAAGGATTACAGACCTCCTTATTTCTGAACAAATTCCGAATTATGACTCATATAAACATTTAGATGGTAATAAGTTTGTATGTTGAAAAGATCGCAACAGTGAACAATGACAACCTAAACCGACATGATCGATGATGATAAGAACGGCTTGCAGAAGCTAGTTCATGTAAGGTAAATGTGTTAACTGCTGACATTCACAGACGTTGTTCGTTAGTGAACGACGATGACGATTGCAACAACAGCACCAGCAACACCAGCAATACCAACAACGGCAAACTAAAGCAGTAACAACAACAACAACAGCCATGGAGAAAATAGCTGTACCGACGTAAAAGCGACAGTAACAACGATGTTAACTTGAAGCCGCGCGAAAAAAAATCGTGAGTAGATGTTTATAAGAACATTCTAGGCGTTTGTTCGGATAAAATGAATCAATAACAAAGAGGCCTGATAAAACGATAGCTGTTAATAGGTAATTAGGGCGTGTGTGTGCACCATTAGCGAGGTATTGAGCGCATCACTCTCACTAGTCGTCATTCTGTTGACATTCGATGTTATTCTGAATCGACATTCATGGCGCTAATACCTGACACCCCTAAACAATACGAGTGTCTTCAAGCATAAATGTCATTATGCCACTGTAGAACTTCCATAGTACATCAGTTAAAGATTTTATGGATTTCACGGATTTTTACTGCTTTCTTGTAGTTAAATTTACTAGCTGGCTAGTCCAAACATCACAGGGGAATTGTGGATTGTTAATTTAATTCATTGCTCAACGTAGTTGTACAGACAGCTTATTCGTGACGAGCAATACCTTCAGCACCATTGTCATATAGGTGACTTACTGATTGACACATCAACGCATTGTTAATGTAGGTAATATTGTTGTTTAGATTTACAAGTGGCCCATACTCGACCGTTTTTTAAAAATTAATTTAAAATTTTACCAACAAATCCTCAACAGCAGAAAACAAGCAGTGAACTATTTTCCGTTAAGTTTATCGCATCCATAGACTAACACAAAGCTCTCTTAGAAGAACTGTTCGTTACGGTTAATGCTGTTGTCCCCTTGACGCCTTTAGAGGCAAATTATTCAAGTGGGTTCTCCACAGCAGCTGTTTCTTCTGATGTGGGTCTATTCATTCGAACCGACTCGATGCCATCAAGGCGAACTCCGAGAAAGGCAAAGACGCGGGAAAGTGGTCCACAATAAGGAGTACTTTATGATAAGCTGGTTTAGGCTTATGAGTGCAACAAAATATTGACTATCCATAGCGAACTTGGATAAAAATCGCTTTCTAGGATTACCACTTCTCTAAGAGCCGACAAAAATGCTTTTTAAAAGTGCCATCCATGGAAGCTCGTAATCAGAAGTACATAGCTCAAACGTTAAAATAATACTAGTCCTACACAAAAACATGTTTCGAAATAGCAAAGATCTACATTACCACTTTCTCAGGTGATATCGATACCATTTCACCCTCTCCCCAAATGTGAAACCATAATGATCAGCTAGTAAGGATATTTTAATTACTTATTTGGATACTTGGACAACCCGTGTTTACAAGCTGTGCAAGCCTCAGCATAATTTCTATTTTTATAGGATATTTCTTAGTTATTGTGGTTGCCTAGAATCTCAAAGTCATCCTTGCAAAGGTCTGCCCCAGATCGTCACCAACACAGAGGGTCGGCGCTTTGTGAATCAGGAGCAGATTTTCCACTATGCGACTGATTTGACACTAGGGCGATGGTTGATCCCAGTACTGGCTTTTTCTTTGCTAGCCTTCCTGATGGAAACGGCGAACTCCTCGGCTCGGGCCCAGCTGGATGGATGATTCCTCCCGCTTTACATCGCAGCCGGCGCCCAGGAACACCTCCCAGCCGTGTTGAGGTGGTATACCGTTAGGAAACGTAAGGATATATTACGTTGTTTATTTCACAAAATCAGTTTTTCTACTTTTTACCGCTTGACGCTTTTTTTTTGAGTTTTAAGGTGGAGTGAGAAGAAAACTTTACATTTTCAAGCACAACAGACACTAAAAGCTTCCCATATACCAGCAATTAATTGTGATCTTGATGTTTACCATCAAACTTAGACGAATTTATTGCCTATTCGAGAAGGTAGTCGAGTATTTAAATATTCGTAATTAAAAGCTTACCAGAATCAGATTACATAGCCCTAATGTCTGACAATTCGTAAGACTTTATTTCGGTCTAGCTTACACGTCGTCATCGAGTTCGGAATGCTGTGTTCCGGATTGTTGTCGGTGCTATCAGCCTTAGCTCATCTAGCAACCTTTGTGAGTGGTCTCTAATCTCTGCAGACTAGAACATAATGATGATCGCTATCGTAGAGCGCCGACAGTCTTAGAGGTGAAAGCGGATCTTGCACCTCAGTCAGGCTTCGATTTCTATGCGATTGTCATCATCAGGCTACACCAGTGGGCGTGACATCGAACTGAACAAGCATGTAAGTTTTTTGCAAAGATCGCTAATGTCGTAATGAAAAGAATTACACATTCCGTTGCATGTTTAGTCATAAACTATTTAGAAAAGAAAAAGAAATGATATGAAGCGTTAAGGAAAAATATCATGCTAGATCGTTGTCAGAGCTACAACTGTAACATTTCAAGTATTTCTGATAAAGAAGTTTATTTATTTGTGAATGTTCTGTGTGCTTCTTGAAGAGCACAATCCATTTTTTTCTATGTTATTATTAGAGCGCTTTAACTTGAAACATGTCGTCATTATTTTTTCAGCACTAAGGACGTGATATTCGAGGAATTCACTTATGGAGTTCCTGACATTTCTCAGCGACTCAAGATGGTTCAAAATCGTTCTAACGCCTATTCTAAATGTTTCAACCAAATTCCAACCATTCTTGCGTGGATTCCATCAAGTCAATATTATCACATTCCCTGCGTCAGCGATAATCTTAGACTATTCATAATCTTTATTGGTAATCCTTCTTATTCAAGCTGGAACTTTTTAAGCCAAGAAGAAATGGTAGATTTAGTGTCGAACTTTCAATGAAGTAGTCGTTACCTCAACCGACAACCGTAGCATTGCGTCCACTTTCGCATTAAATTCACCAGAACCAAACGTTAAGAAAATTTTGATTCATGCTGAAAAAGGTTGTCAGAAGTTCGTTTCACGCTGTTGAATTTAAATAAACGAAGAAAGTAAAAAAAAGATTTTATGATTTAAAATAATACTTGACACGTTTGTGAGCGAGAGCGGCGTTGACCAAGAAAAAACCTCATGTTTTGTAACAGCGAATTCTATTCTGAACAACTTAAACTCAACCTTATTCAAGTGAACATAAGATCATTCGGCGGTTACGTCGTATTATGAAAAAAAAGTGACCCCATTTAAAGAATTTAACAGAAATCAGGACACGTTCCTGTTTGGCTGGTGCTAGATTTATTCGAAAAAAAATGTTGTTAGCCTTAGCTTCTATAGACTTCGTAACTCAAACGATAAACAATGCATAAAAAGAGAGAAAAAGGAACTGATTTTGAAAATCGTAAAGTCTCTCTTAAAAGTGAAGAAACACTATGCCTAATATTTTAAATGTGATGGTAGATTAAGTAAGTACCAATGTGAATAGCAATCGTAATCTACCAACACACCAGTTATACACACATCTATTTTATTCAACCAATTGTCTCGCTTCTCCCAATGGTTTATCGCCTCATCATGGCTGGAAGGTGTTCCTGGGTGGCGGGCTGCGATGTACAGCAGGGAAATTCATCCCTATGGCAGGGTCTCTCAAGTCTGATCCAGAAGGGCTGCGAATGCTTGTGGTGATGAAGACCTGAGGCAGACTTTGAGCAGGCTGACCTCGGGATTCCAATGAACCACAATGGCTTAACCAGCAAATCTCCAAAAAGTGGAGATTATGCTGGGGTCTGCTCAACCAGTGAGAACAGGCCATTCAAGTGTCAAGTGTCAATAATCTCGATCTTATAAGCCATAGCTAACCAAACTGCCATCGCTCCGTGGTCAGCAAATTGCTACTAGACGCCTACGGCACGTTAAAAAACGACCTCATACAGGCCACCACATGTAATTGCGTGGGCTAAAGATAAACACATTCTATCAACTCTAATCGAGTCGTATGCATGGCTAAGTATACGAATTTCTTGCACGACGGTTTTGCGGTAGAAATGATGGCGGTTAGATGATGTTTAATGACATCTTAACGACACCATTCGCCGTTCCACCATACTCACTACGTTAGTGATTGAAGAAGTGAAACCCACTTCAAAACAATCTTTGAACGGAAACTTTTTATTTTTAATAGGTTTCTTTTCTAACGAGAGACATTTAAAATGTCGTTTGCTATAAATTTCTAAAGCAGTGTCGACCTTTGTCACATTTCTATTCCTGAACCAGATGAAAATCCTTGGTTATTTAGTGGTTCTGAATATAATTAAAACTTCAAACCACCCGTCACTAAAGTTGACCTTTGAACTATTTGTCAAACGAAATTGGTCTTCAGCCTAACTCTACCGAAAATTTTTCGTAGCACTAGAAAACATTGTCATGCATCAATTGCCTTGATTACAGAAATGAAGTTATGAGTTCATGATTTTTTAAAGACAGTCGCTGAAAAGCTCGAGTACTGCTTCATGTCTCACCACTTTGTACTGTGTGGTGGACTTTCTTTAACTGTTTGCCCATTTTATTTATTTCACTATTTTCACATGAAGAGAACAAGTCTAGTCACCTGTGATTTCGTCATCAGTAATGTTAGCGATCCGTAAGCGATTTGTGGACGGTTTAAGTCTGACGTTCTATCGTCGTCACCGATATCAGAAGACGTCACTTGCTAAACTTAAAGCTCGATAGAACTTCACCTAAATAAAAATAAGTGCCGGAGGACGTCATAGGTGCACAAATTTGAGTCGCCCGCCCACAACTGGGCGTTGTGGCCTCCTCCACGTTATCGGTGGCGCATCGCATTCGCACATGTTCGATCCTCGTCCGTGGCTGCTTTCCTGCTTATACACTGCTGCGCTCTTTTTCTCCGTACCTTTGTCACTTGCCGTCTGGTACATTAGAAGAGAACTTTTCCAGGAAACGACAGTCGCCGGTGACTATCAGGTAGCTGCTACTCTTCCAGTAATACCATCTCTTCAAACATTTTCAATGTATCTAACCTTAGCTACTCATTTCCAACTGTCGCCATTAAGCCAGCATATATTTCAGTTGTATTTATGTGTATACATGCAAATATTTTAGCTCGGTGGCTTTTCCACTAGATCTCAGAACACCTCCCGTGTTGCCCCTCTCGTCGCCAAACGCGACTTTGAAATCCGGGTTGATAACTAAGGTTGGCAACAATGCATGTTTCTTACTACGTTATATTAATATGTATAGTTCAACACATGCCACTTCGTTTCCATCAATTTTCATTGTTTTATTTCCTCTATGGCTTTCCAATCCTCCAAGTATTATTCGTTTATTCTCGCTCAGTGATCGCAACAATCTCCTCACTCGTGCACATACAGTTCCTCGTGTTTGATGGCGCCTGTACTGTCTGTTGGTCAGTAATTCACTGTTTTCCTTGGTGAGCTAACACAAGGTTGTTGTTGCAGCATTTGTTACAGGACCTTATTACTGATATTACAACACATTTCAATATTACTTTGTTAACTCATCGAGAAAAATTGTGAATTATTGATCAATAGTGAGGTTAAGAGAAAGTCGGTCCTGGATGTCTGTTGACTTATGAATGTGCCTCATCAATCTCCGCTCTTTATAAAGACTTCCTCTACTGTCAATGTCTGTTTTCTATTATTACGACAGCACAACGTTTCAAATGATTCCATCCTGGAATTATGTTTTGACAATGAAACAGATTTTTAAACTACCTCAATCATGTTCTTTTCCTCCCCTCTCTGTTATACAAGCCTTAAGGTTGTACTCGCTTTTCTGTCATTGTGAAACAACGAGGATGACCTCTAAATTGCTAGTTTTACCTTCAAAAGCTCGACATTGTCGTTATCTTTGTGCACAAGTTACTAATAAATGTTTTACGCTTTTCCTTTCGGAGCACAAGTTCTACACCTATTTTACTTCGGTCAAGTAGCCATGTTCCCTTAGCTGTCCTCAATTCCTTCTGGTCCTGTTCCAAAAACTCATATCCGGCTGGTCTGCGGGCCGGTTATTCACTATCTTTTTGGAAATCTACAAGAGCGTAGAGCGCACCGGAACGTATCGGCATTTTGACCGATTCTGACACACTTTCTCCTCAACTTCCGACAACCATTAATTTCACTAGACTTTTTGTGCAATCAGTATCGTTCTTACAGATGGCTTTACCTTTGAAATTAATCCGTGCTAAGCTGGGTTTTTCATTTTAACTAGGCTCCACCACGACTTCTCAGAACAAACTCACATTGTTTGGCATCTGATTTTTTTGCTAAGTTAGTATCGCCGCTATCGTGCGGCAAATACTGTCATTGAAAGTTTTTTCCTCCATCAAACCCATTTTACGCATTTGATTCGTCTCAGAATGATGTTTGAGCAGAAGACGTCGCTTGTGCACCAGATATCGTGAAGTATCGCGCGCTCACATCTACCTATGTTCCAAATTGTTCGTGCAGAGAATCTCTCAGCGATTACGATCTGTACTCCAGCCGCGCTTGACAAGGTTGACCTCAATCAGGTTGTGATTGGACAGGACTCATCTGATTCCAATGGTTATCGTGGTCACCGCAATAGTGTCGACTTTCGATGAGCCAAAAAAAAAGAACCGTGTCATCTTATAAACCAGTTAAAGTCACTACTTAAAAATTGCATTCACACCAGTGATAAAGTTGAAATCTTCAGATGCATGTGGTAATTATTCATCCTGAACTGTGGAATGGGGGTTCAGATCGTTGTACAGTAGCGCTCATACGCCATTTTGTTTCTAAGGGCTATAAGGTAATTCTTAAACACCGCAAGCGCATTATGTTTTTTCACTATTTATGAAAGTTCCTTGAAATTTCAGGTTACATGGCTTACTACCATGATCGATGAGTATTGGAGCGATCACAATTTCGATGGCGTCGGTTAGAAACATTAATTGCCGTCGAAATCTGGTTTGTCATAGGATTTATGAAATTTAGACGTTCGACAAGTTGGTCTTAAGCTTCATCCTGGTGATTGGTGGAGTCAAAATGTCGCCCTTGGTTGGTACCTCGTATTGAACAACATCGAACCAGATTTGGTTGTTGTCGACCATTCGGCAAGGTACTGGATAAATTTCGAATGGTTTTTTTCTCTTCTTATCCTTTTATTTTCAGTTGTGTCCCACTAATAAAATGGCGCTATCCGTGCTGTAAAGTGTTGTTCTATTGTCATTTCCCTCAACAACTCGTCACACCATCTAGGTTCTTCTTGTATAGGTATATATGCTGTTTGATTTATTAATTCTTTGTCGAACTTTAGTTTCCTGCTTTAGGTGGTATTCGAGTTTGATCGGTCTCATCGAAGAGCATCTCTTTAAGCAAACCGATGTCATAATGGTAAATAGTCAATTTACAGGTAATTAGAAAGACAAAGCTGCGTAGGTAGTCCCATTCCTTAGTCTCTTAACGAGCTTTTTCAGCTTCACAGTTTAGTCGAGTAATGCCGCGCATCGATAAGAGTAAAATTCGAGTCGTGTATCCCCCATGCGACGTCGACTCAATTGTCATATCGGTATGTGAAAAACCTTGTATTGACTGGACTGAGAAATTTGCTAATATTCTCCCTTGGAGGCAGAGAAACCGATGAGTCGTCGAGATCGGCCGCAAAACGACGTTTACGTGTTTATGTCGATGAACAGATTCTGGCCTGAGAAAAGGCTTGACATTATAGTTGAGGCTGCCTGTAAGTCTCATGTATCAATGTAAGTCTGATTGCGTTACTAAAACGCGAACACAGTTGATTTGTTTAAGCGTTACTGAAGAAGCGCGGGTACAAGTTTTTGGTGCAACTCGCAGGTTCGGTAATGCCACACATTCCTGAGAGCCGAATATACTATGAATTACTACAGAAGATGACTAGAGTGCGTGCAGTCAAAATTGCTTCGAAGACAAATACGCTAGCATTTCTTTCTTGGATTTCTAGGATCTCGATGTTTGTGACGTGGTACACTTCATTCCGTCACCATCCGAATGTCAAAAATTTGAGTTGTATCGACAGTGCGACTCAACACTCTATACACCACCCAACGAGCACTTCGGTATCGTTCCTATAGAGGTAATATCAACTGATTTTATAGAAATTCGTTAAGCCTGTTTGAAATAGATCCTCGTACAGGCATTGGATCAACGGCGGCCGGTGATCGTTTGTGACAGCGGTGGACCAGCTGAGACGGTTATAGAAGATGTTACCGGCAACAAGGTAGATAGCAATGAGTATGTTTCACCAGAGCACTTCAGAGCTTTTGATTGATGTTTTCAGATAGGGAAGCCGACGGGGGAATTGCTTGCTGAAGCAATGATGCACCATATCAAAAAACAAGACTGGCCAGCGCTCGACTGCGACGAGACCTACAAAAAACAAGTAAACATTCCAAAAAAAAAGCAAAACACTGTAGTTCATGCACAAAATTTACAAATTTTATAACTGCTTTCAAAAAGATCCAATGTGGTTGCCTGTGTGACGTAGTCATCATTTGTGTAACGAAAAATCCAAAAAGAGGCTCCATTAGAAATGGCAACCACATATCACGTTCAAACTTCTCACACAGAACATAGTGAACGCGCTTCAGATTTAAGTCTTTTTTTTTCAAGATCTGCGGATAAATCGCTTCAGTGTACTGATTAGAAAGCAAAAGGTAATTCACGCTTAATCAACTCCTCAATCCAAATGTGTTCAGCGTGCTCGTTTCGATCGCGATTTTTCATTACGAGGCTTCTGTGCGCATATCGACGAAGCTGTCGCGCAACTGTTTCCCGATCTAGCAACGATATCATCAAGGAATCGACGTGCATTGGCTTAGCTGAGAAAACTGTTGATGATATCCGTATTCATGAAAGCGTACGACTCTGCGTCGGTCTCACTTGTTATACAGCGTCGTCGGTATCGACGTAGTTTACCGTCGTCAACACTGTACTATGTATGCGTTGTCAGAGGAATCGTCTCAGAAGAGCTGATAGACGACCTCACTCAACGAAAACACACGCATGAGTGGAGTTCGATAGCGTGTCTTTGAGCAAAATGTTAAACTGAAACGGGTGAGACTGATACGGAACGTATTCTAGCCTTGTCTCTTTCAAAATATCTCATGAAACAACACGATATTTGCATGCTTTTCCCATTACTGTAGCAAATACCCGTATGTGTGTAACGAGTTCCGATTCAATTGTTGCATTTTACTTCTCGTGTGATTTTCACTCATTTTGTTCTCTGTGTTCGTTTTTCTTCGTCTCTTTACTAGACTTATCACGATTGCGACAAGATTTACGATTAATTCTAGTATACACTTGTCTCTCAGCTTTCCGATTTTCCCTTATGCATTTCCCTGGTTTTTCAATGCGCTCGCACAGCATTCGTTTAGTGTTCTCGCAGTGTCATATGCAACTATTACAAGCAACAGAAAGGTCATACCTGACTGTTTAAAAAGAAAAAAAAAGACAAGCAGTCCTACACCCACATGGAAATGTTCATGATCTTGCCAATAATAAAATTACGATCTATTCCATCTTCCCCATTGGACTGCTATAAATCAAAGAAGGCGCTAGTATTGTTCGAATAGAAGCATTGAATCTGAGATTGCATGCCATACATTCATGCAAGCATACACACATACATGCCTACATACATACATATCTACATACATACGTACATACATACATACATGCATACATACATACATGTATACATACAAACACACATACATACATACACACATACACACATACATACGTACGTACGTACATACACGTACGTACATACATATATGCACACATACATACACACATACATACATACATACATACATACATACATACATACATACATACATACATTCATACATACATGAACACACACATACATGCACATACACGTACGTATCCAACAAAATTAAAGGGCTCAAGTTATTCTTTAAAAACTCCATTATTCATTGCAAATCAACATTAATAAAGTGGGTTTTTCTTGACAATGAATATTGATGTCGAGTATGATGCTTCATTCCTCGACATCGTGCTCCTGGTCATCGAATTCACCTTCGTCGTCAGCGGTTGCTTCCTGAATACAGAGCAATTATCGTTTCTTCTAGATAAAATTGTTAGCATAAACGTCTGTGTAATTATAAGTCAATGCCACCGACCTGATATTGCTGGTATTCAGATACAAGATCATTCATGTTTGACTCGGCTTCGGTGAATTCCATTTCATCCATACCTTCACCAGTATACCAATGAAGGAAGGCTTTACGACGAAACATCGCTGAAAAAATACTACTGAACACTTACTGATTTCTGTCTTCTATTATCATTGCAATTTTACCAGTGAATTGCTCAGATATTCTCTTGAAGAGTTCTTGAATAGCAGTAGAATTACCAACGAAAGTTGCAGCCATCTCAAATATTGATTTGAATGGAGTGAAAAATAGGAATAAGAACGCAAAAAAGCTGTGATTACCAATGGATGGAAAGCAGTAAACAATCATTTATAAATTTAAATACCTTGACTCCTCTTGGAGGAATATCACATACTGCTGTCTTCACGTTGTTCGGGATCCACTCCACGAAATACGAAGAATTCTTATTCTGGACATTTAGCATTTGCTCGTCGACTTCCTTAAAGCGCAACTTCCTTAAGGCGCAATTTAGCTGATCGGTGTGTTTTGCAACTTAAACTTTGAATTCGGTCTTTATCTAGGCTAATTGGCGACAGCAATTCCTCAATCAAAGTGACTCCGACATTTGGTTGTAGCTTCACAACCGTAATAAACCGTTTGGAAATGCATGATTATCAAAACATTCTCTTAAGTTAAAAACTAAACTTTGCAGTTGGTATCTGAAAGATATCAACTCCGCTTTTACTCTTCTTTAAATTTTTCAACCCTTTTACTTCTTCTGTAACCCCACTAATAACAATATTTAAATGGTTTTTTATTTCAGATAGAAGCTGTGCTAGGCACAGTAATGCTACATGGAAACGCCACTGGCTAAGCCTTTCGAGAACTCATGGATCTGGCATTGAAACTCGACATATAAAGAACGAAATTTCCGGTCGTCTTGACAACATCTTGAAGGAATTCTTCACTATGGACATCTTTCTTATTCTGCTCAACTCGAGAAACTGCCTGACGCTGTGCAAACGAAACCATTAGGAAATGTGAAAAAGTTAAATTACTACACGATAATTCTCGTCCGTATTATGTGAAACTCTTACATGAATGAACACTGACCAGGCTTCCATAAAAGCCTATTTGTCATCAAGCATTAAGATAACAAATTTTTCGACCATTACGCTTAGCAAACTCTCAAAACCACCAACGACGAGAAGAGGTTTTGACAAATGCACCTAAGACCAAAATGAGACCTAGAATTCCTTCGCTCCATGGTTTCGTGAATTCTAGGTGACACACATCCAATAGCTCCAAGAGAGCAAGAGAACTGTTGACAGTAATGTATGTGTTGTAAATTTACTTATTTCCCCCCAACGGTTTACCGCCTCATCGTGGATCGGAAGTGCTCCTGGGTGTCGGACAGCGATGTACAGCGGAGGATTCGTCCCCTCGGCAGGGTTTCCCAAGCTTCTGAAAATGAGTCCGGCGTGGTATCAAAGTCGCATGATAGTAAATCTCCCTCTGATCCACAAGGGCTGCGATTGCTTGTCGTGGTGACGACCTGGGACAGACTTTGGCCCCGCTGTCCTCGGGATTCCAGGGAACCACAATGGTTTAACTAGCAAATCTCCGAAAAACGGTGATTATGCTGGGGCCCACACAACTAGTGAGGACGGGCCGTTTAAGTATCAAGTACTGCATTATCTTCATAACAAACAGAGGTCTACTGATTTGTGTTTAACTCTGGTTGCTACTTGACCACGTTGTCTCCTTCATTAATGTCGGTGAATGCTTGTCGAATGATTCTCACTTTCACAGTCAAGAACAACGTGAGCAAAAAAAATGAGCAATGCACGTAGTGCATCCTGATACTCAGAATTGAAAAATGGACACTAATAGTTGGTTTCGAATACAAGCCTGTTCATGAAAATTAAGTAATATTAGCTATTAATGATCTAATAGGATATCTGTGAAAAAAAAAAGATGCTGACCAATACCGGTTTTAACAGTTCTCTTCATTCGCTTCCTAACAATAAAGGGTAAAAGGATAAAGCTCTCAGCGTTAATCAATACCTGAGGGGCACGCCAAATAATTCGACCTCATCAAGCATCGTCAGAGCCGATTGAATACATATCTGGCCTATACAATGACCCGTGGAGGCCTACCGATGTATCGAGCCAGTGTTGCTTTCCTCCCGGACATGTCCGGCACCAAGTTGTCCACCCCGAAGGGATAGAAGGTTCGGTGAGCCTGGGACTCCGGATCGATCCCATGGTATTGTAGGGCGCCTCCACTGTGCTACACGAACTCCTCACAATAACTAGTTCAATCATAGGATTAAGGTACTACATAAGCGCTTTTGTGGAAAGGTCATTCTTCCTATTAAATCGTCGCTGGTAACTTCGACGCCAAGATTGGGCTAAGGGAAACATCTGAAGAATTTTAAGAGTTGACCTATGATTCTGTTGATATGAAAGTGCTTACGGAAGCCTTGGGCAATCAGGAAATTCCTACTCAACACTTTTTTTAAAGTATATTAAGCATATAAAGAGCACGTTCTGAACGTGCGAATTAACCAATCAGAAAACAGCTACATTACGAAATGGTATCGAAAGCCAAGTAGTAAAAATATCTTGGTTCATTACCTCTCCTCTCACCACTCTCATACGAAAAGAGCGCTTGTAAGAAACATGTTTCGAACAGCTACCAGCGTGTGCACAGGAAGACAGCAGAGAGAGGAGTCCTGGAACTTGGTGCGGCAAATAGCTATTTTTAATGGCTACGAAACTGTAGCTCAAGATAGGTGTAGAAAGAACCACAGGTACCCCAACGACAACTCTAGCAACAATAAGGTCCCGTTTATACTGCCCTTCATTTCAAATAAAGTAAGTGCAGCTATAAAACGCTGTTTAAGAAGGGCCAGTCTAGAAAATTCGGTAACGATAATCGAAATACCACCGAGTAATCTAAGACGCCAGCTAGTTCGTAACCGCCTATACGACCGTCTATGTGCAAAGCAAAATTGCATAATTTGCCCCAATGGTAGATACGGTGATTGCATGAGCTCGGGTACAGTCTGATCTCTTGTAAAGCGTGCGGGGACGAATACGTTGGCAGAACGGGTAGACCACTCTGCATACATATAAAAGAACACCTAGTCGGCAAGCGTAAACCAAATCCACTAGGCACGCATAGGACGCAGAGACATAACGGAGAAGATTTTGAAGTAGGGGTTACAATCCTCGCGCAAGAATCGAGAACACTAGCGCGCAAGACTCTAGAGGCATTCTGGATTAATTCCAAGAAACCGAAAATGAACCGCAAGGAGGAATGCCTCATTATCACGCTTGATATTTGGCAGTATATAAGCCTATTATTTTGATGAGATGGGCACAATACGATTCCGTGTGAACTCTGAGCTGTTGGTCTCCACGTGGCATATTTAGTGGAAGACTCGTAGAAAGCGGTGAGTGTGCAAAGACTCTGTGTTCAATGTGATTAAAATTTTCGTTCGGCACTTTCTCTATTTGGTTATGGAGGTGTTTTGCCGTGTAGATTGTAGTCAACTTGACCTTTCCAGACTCTGAGCAAGGCGAAATCCGCCGAAACGTCAGCTTGTACGTAAATAAGGAAATAAAGTAACACCTCGTGTTTGCTGAACAGAAGTAGAAAGAATTAAGCATGTAGTACATCTACTACGTAGTATGGCACAGTTAGTAGTTAGTTAGTTAGCTAGTCAGTTAGTACAGTCTACTTTATTATAAATAATTGATATGCTTACATCTGATAGAACCTAAAGTGAGTTTACGATCACAGTTTCATCATTATACGACGATGTCACTATCGAGACCATCAGAAAAGCAGACATAACGGTACTATCTCTTCAAAAATGTTCAGCGCCATACTACAGAACACCGTACAAAGAGATGAGGAGATATGCGAGTGAAAATTTAACACCACTAACACCATCTCCGTTTCACTAGTAATCGTTCGCATAACACCAAGTATTATCCGAGTCTAAATAATGCTAACTGATTTTGATGGTGCATGGATTCGAATTTGAAGAGTACTCGATGCCCCATTATCACTCAATGGCAAGAACGCCCTCAGCACACTTTATTTGGAAGATGAATATGAAAAACAGTTGAGCAGTAGCGCTGAGTTTTGAGAAACGTGTGAATTATACAACATATAATGGCATCGAGGAACTCCTGATAAAGAGGAACCTCATCTATCTCTCCACACCAATCTCTTTCAATCATCGATTTCCTCTCTTTAGCGTAGGATTCAGAAAGCCGTTTAAGCAGAAGGAAATTTTTTTGCTTTGAAGTTTAGACATTTTCATCGTTATCGAAGACATAAATCTGGCTTTGTACAACTACCAAATACAACACGTAACGGTGGAACCTCTCACTCTTTTATTATTATCTGATATTTCCACTTACAATCTTCATCAACTCAAGGTAATTGCATCATTTCGCAGTTATTCACGAATAATCCTTCGTTGGAGTACTTAAAAAGCTGACATGCTCATGGAAATCACTTTACTGATGTGGATTATCAAATCTCTACTAAGTAGTAAAAAGGAATGAAGAAAAGTTCGAAAATGTATCCATCTTTGGATATCTCTTGTATTTCTTATTATTGAGACATCATATACGCCAGATATCATAACACACTCAGGATAACCTCTGCTAGCCTTGTGTTTTTAGTGCTTTAATTTCTATCGCCTTACCTTCATACTCATTCTACCTCTGAACATTGCCGCTACAGTAAGATATCTTCCGTGTCGTGGATCACATGCTGCCATCATATTCTTCGCATCAAACATTTGCTGCGTTAGTTCTGGTACCGTCAATGATCTGATGAAAGCTCTGGTTACCAATATCAATGCAGGGAACCTCTGTTATGTATTGGCTATTCAGTATCTGGTATTTTATTGCCTTAGAACTTCAGACATTATATGCGCACTTTTAGGAAATCAACACAGGAAAAAACCACAAAATCTTCTTCAACTCGTCATTAATGTAGGATTAGCTTCTCGCGCAACGATTACAATCGCCAACGAAGAAAAACAACACGGTAGCTAAAAACTGAATTATCCGAGAATCTAGATGGATAAAAATATCCTTCTGAATACCTGTACTGCTGTGAGCCACGTGATGTGAGTGGCGCAAAACCGGGCATGAAGAAATGCAGTCGTGGGAAAGGTACCATATTCACCGCCAATTTACGTAAATCAGCATTAAGCTGAAACTGTCTCCTCAAGCTCGTACTCACTAGTCCAGTTTCTTTCTTTCATTTCTAATTTCTAATACAATAAAACCCTTGCTATTTGTCTCGAATAGCATTTTAAAAGCGGTATGACTTCTTGAAAAAGTGGAAGACCAGTGAGAGATCGTGATTCTATGAAACTGACTCTCCACTTTATTTGCCTTTACATCACCCGTTATGACATCTACTGTATGGATCCCAGCACCTTTTGCATTCGATTCGTTCCCTTGCATCCAACATTCACAACGGTCTTCGAACATTTAGCGTGTTGTTTCAGCTCCTACTTGAGGATTCCGTCTTCCTTATGTGTGTCGCTGAATGCTAATCCGTTCAGTTCTTTTTGAAATCTTAGAAATGGCCAGACTAACAGGTTCTCACGTGAATTGGAGGAGTGGTTATGGTGGAGTTCGAACTACAGCCTTCACTTCCTGATCGAAGACATCACTAAGCACTGCGCTATCCCCGCCTCTAACTTTCCATTAGGCCATTAAATCATACCTGTCCCGGAAATCTTAAGCATGTTGTCACGCCACTCATCGTCATCGAAACCAAATGATTCAAATCGCCGTAAGTTGGTGTGGAAAGTTTCAACGTACGAAAGCAGATATCATAAAGCGCCTGAACAAGATAAGCATAAATAAATATAAATATAAATGAGAACTTGAAAACAACTCACAACTAGCGTTGCTGCTAGAATATTTTTTAATCATAAAATATACCTCATTGTCAATGCAGAAGGTTTCGTCTGTATTTTCAACGAGCTGGTGAACTGACAGTGTTGCATTATATGGTTCAACTACCTTAAAATGGAATATTTCTTCGAAGAAACTACTCAGTTGCCTTCAAATAAACCAACCCACAATTACAGATAAACTATTAAATGTTTACTGCTATATGGCTTAATTATAAGGAAACTCAATTTGATCGGAAGCTCCGAAACGACATAGAAAAGTTCAGTACTCACCGTATCCGAGACTTTGGGACTGGGAACAACAGAAAATGTATTCATTATACGATCCGGATATTCTTCACGAATCTTTGAGATCAGTAGTGTTCCCATTCCAGAACCAGTGCCACCTCCAAGTGAATGCGTCATTTGGAACCCCTAAACGGTAACATGAACAATCAGCACCAATGGTATCGCTTTGTTTACCAAGATGTCCATACCTTGCTAAGAACCTCTATAAATGATTTTTACGACATTTGTGTATTCCAATATGTTTCGAGGACTACCCGCTCCATTATATTCGAAATTTACTAAAAAAATATGGCTTGATTAATTTCGAAATAGGTTAAAGGGACACAAAAAACGATTTTAGACAAGACATTAGTATCCCTTGTATCACTTGCCCTCCCCTTGATCAACGAATGATTTTAGCGGACGTTAGTTGATTTTTCATTTCTAACCGTCGCGTGCAAGAGTAGCACAGTGGGTTCTGCTCGCTTTGAAGACTCGTTGAGCATCATATCTTTCTTCTAGAGTTTCACGAAGAAGTCTAACCATCGGGTCGGTCGCCTTCCTGCAGTACGTTTGGCATTCCGAGGAATCAAGTCACTAACGACTCTTGTCCATCGGTTGTTGTTAATACGTACTAAATGGTATCCGTCTCACCTTATCTTCGACCCCTTGGCGTATCGAATGGCGCTTTTGACTTTTTATAGTTGAAGTAGGTTGGAGATTCGGTTCTCTTCCTTCACTTGTGTGATACGGGGCTGTTTCTATTGTCCTTTCTACTGCACCTTCTATGACGCTGAGTGATCTATCATTTTGCTTACGTAGCAACTGGGTTTCTGACGCATACGTTAAGGCAGAAAGAATCGTAGAGTCGAAAAGGTAAGCATGGAGACAAGTGTTCTTTTTTCTCATCAATCCGTTCTCTATGCTACGGAAAACTCCCCATACTGTTCGCTTCAACCTGCTTAACTGTGGAGCTATGTCGTTCATAGTGTTGATTGCTCGACGTATATAGGCGCAGTTGGAGCATACGGAGATATTCATTCTGTTGAACGCGTGAATGAGACATATTCACCAATCTATTCCTCACAAACATAGTTTTTGCAAGATTAATTCAAAGATCGATCTTTACACAAGCTCTATCAAGTTGACAAGCACTCGTTCTTCCCCGCTAATGCTTAGAGCTAATATACGAACGATATCGTCAACAAAACGAATACGATGTAATTTCCGTTCATCTATCTTCATTCCCATGCTATTCCATGAGTGGCGATAAAAAAATTTTTGGCGAGATGGTATCGCCGCGCCTAATCACCCGTTTGACGTAGATGTTAATATCTTTATAGAACGGTGATATTTTGCTTTTGAAATTTTCATACAGCTAACAAGGAATCTTTATATTCCGAGCAGGGACAACCAAGCTGTACAGGATTTTCATAACTGCTTCCATTTCAACTGAGTTGAATGTTCACCTAAAATCGAAGAAAGTGTGACAGAACGCCACTTGAAGTTTCGCTAGATCTTGTTTCGAATTTTGTTTTCGTATGGATATGATCCATGCTACTGGATCCTTTTTAAAACCCTGCTTGCTCACATGGCTGCCTTTCGTCCTGTGTTCTGTGAAACATATTGAAGGTTACTCGAGTAAAGGAGCTATAGACGACAGAGAGCAGGCCAGATTAGGAGATAGTTGCCGATATAGTGGAGGTTACCCTTTTTGAACAATAACAGATTCCTGTCGGTCTTCTATTGAATAGGAACCTTGCATTTCGTCAAGTCGATTGTGAACAACCGAGCAATGTGCTTATGAGTACTGACGGGCATTGGTGGATATCTCTTAAACCATGCACATCCGATCCTGGTTATTCGTTGTTCAAGCTCATACTCGTGTTGACAAGAACGCCGACGCTGCCGACTCCTCCAATGTCGTGTTCTGAGGAACAGTTCTCCGGTGTCATAGACGGCATTGAATGGGCGACCTTGCCAGTCCGATGACGTCGTACCTTATCGTTCTTGCTTACATGATCAAGCCTTCTAACGAGAACTCTGATTCAAGCGTGCGTACATTGCAGATACAGATCGTAACCTTAGTCCTTTGCGATTTAGACAACGCTGAAGTTTTAGCAGTCTCTCGTGCTCATCCTATTCAATGTTGTCGTATCGGGCACTCTTTCGGAATCAAGACAATAAGACCCACTTCTCATGTACTTCCCTGTCACTTGATTTCAGGCCTTTGGTCAAAAGCCTCGTAGAATACAATCTGCGCAAACTAGGACGCACCCACGTACGCATGCATGAATATGTCTGCGAAAATACGGAAGATACGTGTTATTTCGAAGCTGCAGAAATAGGAAGTCCGTCTACTGGATCCACCTGTATCTCAGGGAAGCATCTTGTCGCTCTCGGTTCCCGATTAACCACCTATCGGCCAGAAAACATCAGTAATAATAATGATTAATACCGCTAGCAATTGATATAGAAAGAAGAGTAGCAAAACTAGTAATTACAACAGTGGTAATTACAAAAGTAATAATAGCGGAGATTTTCCAACGGTTTTCCGTCTCATCGTGGCTGAGAGTATATTTGGGTGGCGGACTGTGATGTACAGGTAGGGGATTCATCAACCAGGCAGGTGCTCCCTAGCTGAGAGGGGGTCCATCCTTTCCATCAGGAAGTCCAGCTGAGAGTAAACCAATACCAAGATCGACAACCGCCGTAATATCCAACTAACTGCATAGTGGCCGATCTTTCTGATCTACAAGGGCAGCAGTTGCCTGTGGTAATGATGACCTGATGCAGTTCTCGGCCAGGATGACGTCAGGACTCCAGGAAATCACAATGCTTAAGACAGCAAAACTCCGAAAAAGTAGAGATTATGTTGCGGCCGCACAACCACCGAAGACAGGCCATCCAAGTATTCAATTAAGTAATAGCGAAAAGATTTGATGAATACGTTGTTTTAAAATCAAACTGTTTCGGAAAACAAATTCTCTCAGGAAATGAATATTACGAAAATTGCAAGCACGGCCAGCTAAATCTTTAGATCTTAGCAGGGCATTAGAGCAAAAGCCCTAAGAGAAGCTGGCGGCTTCCCAGTTGCCAAAGGTGTACGCAGAAAGGTTAAAAGAAGATAAAGCGCTCGGTGTCGATCTAGCCTTGGGAGATGCGCCATGCATTCAACTTCACTAAGCATCGTTGGAGGTGATTGAATGCATAACTGGCCTTTACAATGATTTGTGGTGGCCCACCAATGTATCGAGCCGGTGTTGCTATTTTCCAAGACAAGTGTGGAACCATTTTGCCGACTCCGAAGGGATGGAGGGCTTGGTGAGCCTGGGCGCGGGGATCGATCGCATGTTTTGTAGGGCGCCTCCGAGCAATGCGCTACACGCGCAGAAAAGTTACATATGCTTAAATAGTGTGCAAACATAGGGAGAAAGGACGACGATTAGTGTTCTCTCCTTTTCGCTGGACCAAAAACCATCGTTTAAAAATGAAAAAAGTGCATTTTTTTCTGAGAACGCACCACAAAGAAAATTATTTTCCAAGCTCGACTAACGTTGAATAGCTTCTCTTTCAGCGTTGGGTATTAAAAAGAGCAAATTCTAACGATAATAGTTTCAGCGATAAAAATAGTGGTAAGAATAATAGGAATAACACTTAGTAAAAATGATTATAATGGTAATGACATTTTTTACAATTTCTTTTCTGCCTACTACAATTTTTATGGTAGGATATTATGCGAAACACAACCGCAAAGATGCTGAGATATTTGCAAAACTCCGGGCTCCTCAGATCGGTCCCATTGATAGGTGATTGCTGATGGCACTCACTGATCGATAGAACTAGCTGAGAGACAGACCCGCATGGTGTGGTGGCGAAAGCGTTACTCCCCGGAAGGAACAATAGCGCGTTGGTTCCCCACCGCAGACAGCTGCGGTCCGTTTTTCGAACATCTCAGCATCTTTGTGGTAGTAATAACAATAGCACGACTTTGTTTGCTGCATCATCCTCAGGGTGATGGTTGAGTAATAGTAGGACTCGCCGCATTCACAATAATCATCGTTCACTTGTATAAAGACAGCATACTTCCTTCAGATTTGTTAAAGCCAGCGGATTCCTGTGTTGAAGACCTGAGAACGCCCTAGCACAGTTAGTTCACGTTTCCGGAGAACACTGTCATTCAATGTGTCAATAAGGAAAACGATCACAGATCTGGAAGTTGGAGCCGATTTCACACCAAAACCCGATCAAATCTATGGATGACAGCTCGAAGACAACGAAACAAATTTAGAAAGTGTTGGAAGTCGGGCAATATGTAAACGCAGATCATCTAAGTAACTATTGAAATGCATTTTTTCTTTTTATGTACATGGTCTGACCTCGTATATTGTACTAGCTCTTCTTCCATTCGAATCGTTTTCTGACATCTATTATCGACAAGATCTTCGGATTTCCATGTGTATGTAGCCGTTTATTAAGGATTTCGGTCTTCCTTAAAATATTACTGCTAGTCGAGTGGATTCTCCCCGGAATTCTAGAAAAGCTGTTCCAGGGCATTAATATCTTCACCACAAGTAGAATCCACTTTTAGTGGATTGAAAGAAGTATGTGTTCTCCGACAAGCCTTTTATCAAATTCCCAATCCAGAACGGAGATTTGGTTTGGCAACCCCAGGCGGATTCAACGTAGAGATCTTGGACGTATAATTGAACACCATGTGTATTCATTGCGACCCCACCAGTACGTTTGGCTAGCAACGAAGAATCAAAAACAAAGTTTAAAAGTGGAAATTCGTGACTTCATGAGCGTTGCATGTGTTAGCGATGTTTCGACGGATATTCTTTATGGCCTCTGTGAATTGTAAGCTTGAAAACGCGGTTGTGATATCAGCTCACATCACACTCACATAGAAAAGCGCTAAAATGTCCATTGCGTCGGAGAGGAATGTGTAAATTGCTTTTCTGAGATATCTAAGCACACCTCACAATACTGTCGTAGTTCTGCGCAAATCCACCTTCACAAAGTTTAAACGTCCAATCAATGCTCTAGATGTCAGTAAGATGCGGTCACTGTAAATAAGGGAGTATCAATACCGGTTACGAAGAGTAAATATCTGCTGTTGCCAACTTCGTGCAAACACACGAATACAAAAAAGGTTATGGGGAAGGTCGCATTGGAAATTTCCTGCTATCAATTCAATCCTGCTGAAGAAAATTGTAGCAACCTCACCTTGTTTATCAAAGATGATAGCGGCGCATTATATTCACGACTTTCCCTAACTGCACTTCTTTATACTGTTCATTTAAACCACCTGCAATAGTATTCGGTTTTCTGTCCGTTGTAGATTCTGATACAATGACCTCTTAAAGCAGTTATTCATTACCCGCCATCTGAGACATTACACAAGTTCTATTCTACTTCTCCTTTTTTCGAAGAAAGTTTAAGTTGTAATGGAGACCCAATTTAAAGTTTTTGAATGAAGAACTGATCCATATTCGCCACCGCTTTGGAGCTCTTGGACGAGCGGTTCGTATTCTTCCGTCGAGTGTTCTTTAATCTACCTTCATGCCATGTAAAAAATGACTTCTGAAGAGTTTCCTGGTCATAGGTGTCTGTTCCTGACGAATTTAGTTATTTTTCAGTTTCTGGCTAAGTCGAGTCAGTCTTTTCAAACAGAAGCAGTGAATGGAGACAATGTGGAAATGGATGTATCGAAAGGATAACAACTAGCGCTTGTGAAGATGTAATTGACCAAAGCATGAACAGTGAGTGATATTGTGCTTTTCCCAAGCTCTTAAGAAGAAACCAGCAAAATAGTTTCTATCCTCACTTCGGTCTTCCACTTCAAATTTCGCAATCTTTCACCAACATTTAGTGCCATTTCCATTTGTAATGTTGATGTCTTCTACAACAATTTTATAGAACTACGCCTCAGCGCGAATGATGTTAACCAATTTATCATAGATTTCTGCCAATTCACTCTTATCAGATCCACATTCAGTGAAAAGCAATCAAGATGCTTATTTTCCACGGTACGGAGGTCGAAGGCGGAGGATGGTTAGGCGAAGTGACAGAGTTCCCCATGAGTAGACGGGATGGATTGATGACGGATGTGTGCACAAATCAAAGCACGCCATAGATATTCCTTCATGGTATCCTCCCCAGTTTTATGGGAAAGCTTCGCTATTTACTTGATGAATGTCAGCTTTTGTGCTTCTAGCGCCAGGTCACGTCAAGCCTAAATAGGTCACTTTGACGATGTAAGTACAAAGCAGAGAATAATTTTTATAGGTTTTGTCCACTTTTCATTTCAGTCAATTTCCAATGACGTTCCACCAAAGCAAGATTTGGTCGCTTCTCAATTTGAGTCTAACCGCGTATGCTAAAAGCACTAGCACGAAGTACACAGGATATTCAGGCTAATATGTGGCTTGTTGAGTGATTAGTTGTTTTCTCTGAAATCCTGCCAAGGGTTTTATTGAGTTCCTAAGTACTGAGTTTTATAGAGCGCTGTTAAGTCATTACCATAGGCAGTCGGTAGCCTTTGTGTGAAAGGATGTTTACCATACAGCGGTACTGTTTGTTACGTGAAGCGGTGCTTCCCGGCATTAGGTTCCTGTTCATTGGCCTTTCGGATGCAAACGACGAATTTCCTATCGGCTTGGTTGAATGCGTTAGCTGTTGAGATCTCCGATGTACATCTCATTTCAAAATGCATCATCACCATATAGCTGCAGTGAAGTGGTAAAATATCAGGAAATATTAACGCTGACTAATAGTATTAATAGTGATTATATTAACAAAAGGCAAAATATAATGACCGGGGACTGAAGTTTCATCAAATTGTCGCTGTTGGAAGGACAGCAGTGACTAGCAATAGCCTAAGAGCCTTAACCCCTTTTACTAATTCCTTTTTTTGGTAATTTTACAACATTTTTCTGATCTGATTATTCGTTATGATTGTACCTCTTAGGCCTTAAAATTATTGCGAACATCAAAAATAAGATAATTTTTGTCAAAATTTACGAAACGAAACTCTTGAAAAGAATCAACAAAGGAAAAACAAAAACAGCCAATATGTTAATAACAACTTCTCCGCGTTGAGACTTTCCTACCTGATTTTTAGCTACCTATATCGCGCATCCCTCCCAACGGTTTACCGTCTCATCGTGGCTGGGAGGTGTTCCTGGGTGTCGGATTGCCATGTACAACCGGGGAATTCGCGTTTCCATCAGGAAGCCTAGCTAAGAGTAAACCAATACTAGGAACCACCACCGTCTTGGTATCAAAATCACATGGTGGTAAATCTCCCTTTGATCCATACGGGCTGCGATTGCCCGTGGTGGTGACGAGCTGAGGCAGACTTTGGCCAGGCTGACCTCAGGATTCCAGGGAACCACAGTGGCTTAACCAGCAAACCTCCGAAAAATGCTGATTATGCTGGGGCCCGCGCAACTAATGAGGACGGGCCGTTCAAGTATCAAGTAAGTAAGTATATCGCGCATCGAATATGTATGTATTGCCTGAAAACAATGGGAAACCATTAAAGGCCGAGTGACTGGTAAGATGAGCAAAAAAAGAAAAATGTTCTAAGACCATGAGAATGAATAAGGAAAAAACTCTTAGTAGTATGTTATTAGCCCGTCATACTGAGAGCTCAAAAGTGCGGAAGCATCAGTGTCTTTCTGTCGTTTATCGACACCTCAGGTCTATGAAGTACTACGCCACCTATGGAGTCATATATAGCTGTTTGTGTTTAAACTGCTAAGCTTTTGAAATAAATGTTTGTTGTCGTTTCCAGGTGTTATTATTAGTATTCACATTATCGTCTCCCTACTCTTAAACCCCATAATTACTCTTAAACCACAAAAATTGTTCACAGCTCACGTTAAATAGGAACTTTAAGGAAAAAGCTCCGAAAATAATGAGTAGAATCTAATTCAAAAAAGAGTATTGAATCGTACTCTTCGGCGCATTCACCTGTAGTTTGATAGGCGTCTTTTTCCAATTTGGCCACTTTAATCGTCAAGTTTGAATTTCACGTAGTTAAACTTGTAACAATAGCTCGAGTTACACACCTGTAGACAGTCGCAGTTCTCGGCTTCTTTTCTAACGACATCAAGAACGTTGTCCACTAATTCGGCTCCTTCTGTGTAGTGACCTTTTGCCCAGTTATTTCCAGCACCAGATTGACCTTACAAAGAATCGAATATGGTTTGTTTTCTATGTTACTCCACGAAAGTAGAAAAACGACTCAAAATTGGTTATATCAAAGCTTTAAAATAGAGGCGTCTTTAGGCAACTCATTTCTTTTTGCTGGCGCCAATCATCTCATTGACAATTTAGAACTCACTTGCTTCTCTAATAATTCCAAATCTTCCATTTTTAAAACACCTCTTTGAAGTGTCACAGATTCGGTCTCATGGATTCACATATAATATGGATGACGATTGTGACAACAAATTTCTGGACCAACTAAGTCATCTGACTAAGGCAGTTTTACAGCACTGCATGGTTTTTAAGTCTGCTACGAATTTATTGGCGAATTATGGATGAGTGATTTGGTTCCCATGGAAAGAGTGTCAAATCCGGACTAGAAAAGAGCAACAATTGTGGTGTATAAACAACTACGATATAAATGTGGCAGCAAACTTGCCGAAAACAAAGTTATCTGGACGAAATAGTTGACCAAATGGACCAGCCCGTACTGAATCCATCGTTCCAGGTTCCAGATCCACAAGACACGCTCGAGGAACATATTTTCCTCCTAAGTGTTTAATTAATTACTTTACAATTTTACTATCTATGAACGATAAAAAACACCATTTAAAAACACCAAATAAAGTATTATGCACATAAATGTAGTAGAGACGTAAAAAATATTCGGAACGTACCACTCGCTTCATTGTAGTAGACATTGATTCTTTCAAGTTGAAGATCCGAATCGCCATTATAGATACCTGTTGGTTCTATACCGTGTTCATCAGATATCACTTCCCAGAACTGAAAATCGCTAGGTGTTAGTGATAACGAGATAAAAAAGAGTTGTTAAAAATTCACGTACCTTGGCACCAATCTGATTACCACACTGCCCAGCTTGAATATGAACAATTTCACGCATTTTTCTCTAAGCAGAAAACTTCTTATAGCGAACTTAAGAAATCCTCGACCTATGAATAATTTAATAAAGAACATTTTTAAAAATTCCAGAAACCACATGATGTTAAAACGCTCATAAGTGGAATAGATGTGTAAGCGCGTCTAACGACGTCATGGCAACATGACGCACAGTCAACGACTTGGAATAATGAAGGTGGTCCTTATGAGAATCTCTATTTCACACTACGCAACGTCAGCTTCGTTCATTAGCTGCGCTATCTACGAAATTCAAGAGGAATACAAGGCAAATAACCCTAATTAGTACGGAATTTAAATAGGATGTAAATTGCTGAAATCTGCTTTTTTTAAGTCAGAATCTTCGGGTAAATTAGCAGACAACAAAAACGGTTCCGCGATCAATGTTATTCGTAAGAAACTCAAGACAGAAAAATTGAAAATTAGGAATGAATACGGAGAAAATGTGTCGATAATGAGAAGCTTATAACCGATAAGTCAGAAGACTACCGAAGAGCCGTAGTCGAAGCAGCCTGAGTATAACATTCTGTTCGGCTACATACAGAGAAATAACAAAAAGTAAAAGTAACGGACGCGTTTAATTATGTAATTGAAGTGTGGGCTAAAACATTGTGAAAACAGCATCATGTGTTCTTATCTAATCAAATGTCTGTCTGCATCTCATTCAGAACCAGCCAAAAAAAAACAACGCTTGCAAAGAATGCAGCCTCAATACTAAGTAGCGATGTAGGTTTAGCGGATCTACAGAGCATCGTCAATAACCGAGACGCTTTTCTTTGGCGTATTCAAGCGTGTTCGTCATCGATGAGCTTCATATGAAATAGATAACTCTATAAATGTCGTACACGTCGATGGCTGCCAAGATGTGTAGCTCATTCATCGCCGTTGTCATAGAAATGCATGGAATAGCAAAGTTGTCAAAGAGAGTGCACAAATGAAATTGATTCGTTCCGAATTGGCTATGCTGTCCTTCAAGCTATATTACGCTCTCCCAGAACGAATTCGATGCCATTTCATACCCAGCAGCGCAGGCATGTCTGCAATCCGCATCGGAAATGTGCACCAAATTCCGCGCCTAACTGCAAAAACTTCAATTGCACCATAAATCACAGATATTTTAGCTTAAATAAAAATGAGCACGAGGCGGATAATGCAATGGTACTGATGTCGATCATCACGAATGCTGTGCTAGCTAGATCCTGCTTCGGGCTTACCAAGCCTGTCATCTCTCAAGGGTCGGGCATTGTTAGCAGACTCATCGGAGAAATGCTCATTTTCTGAAATCCAAGAGGGGGCGCTCCAGAGCGGCAGTCTCAGGACTCCAGGGAGAATCAACTTGGCCAGCATTCAACGAAAATAATTACGAAAGAAAAACATCCTCAGGGATCTGCCGAATACACTGCAAGAATTCGAAAGACGTCTTTGGATGATGGACGCAAGGAAACGAATCAAATGCAAAAAAGTACTGGAATGCAAATAATAGATGTGAAAATCGGGTCCTGTAAAAAAAGTGCGAACGCGAAAGAATGCTCTACTAAATGGAACTCTGCCGAAAATACACTATACGATGAAGCTGTCCGTTGGAAGCACTTACTGACAGACCAATATAGCCGAGATAAACAAAAAAAAAAATAAAAATCAAATTCCCGAAGTCCATTTCAGGAGTGAAGAAACGCATGCACTTAGTAGAAAACGGGTAGTTTAGTCTCGAAAAGAATTTTGCTGTATTGTAAATTCTACTCTAAATTATTCTTACGATTTCGTAAGGATTATTCCTACGACACTTCAAAATCGACTAACGTATACAGGTTGAGTTTAGTTTCTTTACGATTTTTAAACTCGTGACTTGTTGCGCATTGTCGTTCTGTAACTTAGGAGTAAGGCCGCTTCTCACCAAATGAACGGACTATAATTATGTGAGTTAGTAAAGACAGTTGTGCCAAGACAACTTAATTTCGGAAACATTTCAGTCCTGCTGTCTTCAAGATTCGCATTTCAACGTATTAAGTCGATGGAAAAAGTGTCCTTTTAACGCAGCAATACGTAGATTTGAACATTTGAATGATAACCTTCCATAGTGAAATGTGCTTAGCAATGCATTCTTTTCATTGAACTACTGTACTTCTGTTCCTGCAAGATTTTCTTTCTCTGGACTCTCGAAAGCCGTCCTTGAACTTCCTCAAGTTGTTACCACTTGTATGCTGGTGACTATACTATTGTCTAGAGAGAAGTGATCCCTGGTGTTGATTTACTCATAGCTTGGCTCTCCAATGTAAATGTCAAGCTGTTTCTCTAAACGCTGAAATCTGGTTAGAATTTAGTCGAAACCAGTAAATTTCTACGGTAACAATTCCTAAACCGACAAGTGTCTACCTCATCACTTCAGGAAGAAGGTTCAATTCTTGATAAAACACAAAAATACGCTGTACACTACGCTTTGAACTCAATAACATTATGGGGTACGATAATCAATGGAAAGAGATTCCAGTCTCAGAAAGATTCTTGAAGGATTGTTTTGAGCAAGAATGTCGACGTAAACAGGTTCAACAACATGACCATTACGACAGAGAGCACATGCTACCAATATATTTTGCCAGTTTTTTGGCTCGCCTATCCATAATCTGTTACAATGACAAATACCTAAGACCCTGTCCAGAAACTTGAACGCCATGTTATGCGTCAAGAAAATTTCATCATTGTGAACATTTAATCGCAATAATCTTCACCTTATCTCTTTGATATTCCATGCATTCCATGATGTTATTGGTGACCAAAGTGTTTGTTGACATTCCTTTCAGGACACTTGAACATAAGAACGACATAAAAGTGGGCAACAAAAATAAAAAAATCATATAGGAAAGAGATCATTGAGGACGCGCAGTGGACTCAAAAGTTCTGGATTGAGAAAATCGGAAACGCAGTATAAGCCTCAATGTTGGAAAAACGTAAGAGCATCTCCTTTGATCTCAGAACATCTTTCATTCGACTCGTTTCCTTTATATCCGACATCCATGAAACTCTTAGGATTTGCTTAAGCATTCGGCTGCTGCTTGAGGATTTTTAGTCAGGGGCTGGAAAGAAGACTTGGTTAGCAGGAGTGGAATTCGGGCATAGATCTTAAGTGTAATTGAAAGTTACCTCTTACCACTGGGGATTCCGAGTGTGTGATTATCAAAGAAAAGTCGGAAGAATGACATTTAAAAGAAAAATTATGTGACAGTAATGACAACAGCAGGAAAAATCATTTGCATACAGAACCACAAGGTCTGCGAGTATTGAGCGAATCTCATATACGAAAAGGAAAAAAACGGAAGACGAAACACCACCACATAAAGTGTCGTCTCTCATTTTGCAAAATATGTTGCAGATGATACGAATTGATCAGGAATTGGAAAGAAGGGTAATAATATAGTAAAATGCACCACGATGTAAACAACACAACCTGATCACAGCTGCACGCTTCGCAATTGCCTTTAGGGCACTAACAGCTATTCTTTTCGTATGTTTCTTGATGTGGACCCTGCTATTTGGAGCATTTCGGAAGCGTCATTCCTTCTGTTTATGGTAACCTTATATGATTCATAGAAGCCTATCAGAACACTATATACGCCTTGTCTTAACCTAATCGCCTACGAGAGTGCTCGTTGAACAACGAGCAGAGCTGTCCAACACAGGAATACTAGCTCTATCTTATCGGAACTGCAGCACAAATATATAGCTTTTTCATGCTCTCTATATATAGATATATATATGTACACATGTATATATACATATATATGTCTACATAAACATATACGTATATATATATACGTATATACACACATACGTATATATACATATATATGTATATACACGTACGTATATATATACATATACATGTATATACATATATATGCACATATATATGTGTATGCCCATGTATATATGTATGTGTGTATATATATATCTACATAGAAAGAGGAGTTTGATTAAACGAAAGAGTATCGTCAAAGTTGCTTAGTAGTGAATTATAGTGGATAACGAAGTCATTCGACAGGGATGAGAAAAGGCATACGTATTGATGAAAAACTCCTGTGAAATCCTCGTTTTGCGCATCGTCAACTTTCAAGAAGTCTCAGCGAAGCAGAGACGATACTAAATGAGATGAACGAAGCGGGAAAATGACTGGTCTGCGCATAAGTAAAGCAAAGGTCCAGTTCATCATAATCCCATGGTGCGAAGGTGATGAAATCAAACTGAGCGGTCCTCTGATTACAGAGATCACCTCGTACGTGTATACTGGACACTCAATGAATACGGAAAATAACATGATTAGCCAGAAGAAGGGCAGCAGCACCGGACTCATTCGAACATCTTAAAGAAGTCATAGACCAACTGACGGACCCAGAACTCCGTGTTCGCCTTTTCAATTCAACAGTCTTCCCAGCGCTCTGTTATGCAGCAGAGACGTGGGTTTAACCATTTCAAGGAATCTGCGCACCACCTACAAAGCACTTGAATGATGTCTTCTGGAAATTGACTGACTCTCACAACAAAGTCTACCGTAGCGTAGACGCGTAGCTCGCAGTGTAGTGGTCTGATTCGTAGCCCAGATCTTCAAAGTCAATCTTGTATTCGAGACGCAAAAGAACGAACACCGATAGCGAAACATTGATGTGCTGGTCACATAATGAGACGAACAGATGAATGCAAGCGACCTCCTGGAAGACCACCCAAACGGTGGGCGGACGTGGTCGTAGCAAACGTCAACCATTTGCATTGGCAGATGGAAACGCTGTTAGGAATTTGGAATGGGCCTGGAGAACGTCACCATTTTCGAAGCAGACCACCACCATGGGCGATTACGCAAGAGAGAGATTAATGGAAATTATGTTGGGACCCGTACCACCAGTGAAGATGGGCCATATATATCTAAGAATTCAACGCTTCAGTGAAGCTAATTTTTCCCAAACAAGATAATTTCTCCATCAACAGAGTAATAGAGGGGTTTACAACTTCGCAGACTTTCAGAAGAGAGTCTCTGCTATCGCCACAGTGGTCAAGTGGTCATATATAAACCCTATGCAATATTCTTCGATTTAATTGCCTTTTTTTTTAGGTGTTTATACTTTTCCACGCAGGTGCGCTAGCCGGAAAAACAACGATGCCTCGTGGATCACCATCATGTCCTGCTAAAAGAAACCTCGGCTGTTCAAGTAAAAAGCATGCTGCGAAAGCATTCGAAATGCGACCTTCGACAAAAAAAAGTGGGAAAAACACGTTTTGTGGAATGCAACAAATCGCATTATCGTCCTTGTAAGGTAGGTGAACTTCTGTTTTGTAGGGAAAGATCTTTATCGTACGATTCCTGGAGAAGTCACATCGTGCTTAAGTGTTATAACATATTTCAAATCTTATACTAATTTGACTACGAGTTTTACGTATCTCTCTCGCCACTCCATAATTTATTACAATCCGTCGAGCTTGTAGCAAAAAGAACTATCACTAATAGAACAATGCTATATGGAGCAGGTGCAACACCCACAGTGTGGTCGCCAAAGTTGGAGACTTCAACGTCACCATCAGGAAACTCGGCTGAGGAACACATATGCAACGAGTGACCGCAGTAATGGGGAAAAAAACTAGTCGCAATGCAATAGACCTCCAAATCCAGAAGGATATATTGTAGACGTGCTGGAGATTTACTGACACATATACCTCAGAAACACAAAGAGAAAGAAAAGCCTACATAACAATACGAATACATTCGACTGGAAAATGAGCTGGAACTGGCGTAATTTGGGAAGACGGGCGACCTAAACATGTCCAAACTGTTCTTCTCGAGCAGGGTTGAAGGATACGTTAAAAAACAACACACGAATATGGGTAAAATTAAAGGCTATCGTGCTTATGCAGATAAAATCACAGGCGCAGTTGAAAACTCTACTGATTTGAGTCCTTCGGAAATTCCGTTTAATGATATCATATTGCCTCCATATTTCAGTGAACACTTCAAAGCAGCCCTTCTGAAGGAAGCAGTATGGTACTAATAAAACTATTTATGTGGTCAACATTTGGTGTGCCTGAGAAACGCACTTGTTTTCGCGCCGCGCCTCACCTACAATATTGATCCGTTTGGGGCCACAGTACTATTATTGGGCGCTGCCCTTTATTTCATCTCCGTAAACATGGTCTTTCAATGTTATGATTCCATTTAAAAAGGTGAATTGAAGTGGAATATAGAGATCTCGATAGGGCAGTACATCTGTTCTTATATTTCTATGCTTTAAGTTATTTTAGAATGTCGTTGTATAAAATATGTTACAGTTCTACACATGGTCTTTCATTGTCTTAGCAGAACCTGACTGCTTTAAAGGATAAGTCTGGGGTTATTTTTCTGAACATTCGCTAGATATTCAGGATAAAACTTTTGCATTGGGCAATGAAGTTCCTTAACGTTTTCATTTTGGTTATTTCACTAATACTCTGAGCTTACGCAATAGCGCCCTAATGAAAAATGGTTTTCTTTATGCTTGTTTGTTCATTTTCACTACACAAACATAGATCTCCATTCTGATATCTCCAGAATGAGGCTGGCCTTTGTCACCTAAAGCCAACTCTAGTACGGTCTGAATAGAGAACGAAACCGAACCAGAACGATCACACGGTATGCCAAAGTGTCAGATCATTTCGTTTTTCATTGTTTGTTTCTCTTTAAATCGTCTTCGATTGTTGTTCTTATTCGTTCTGAATCGTTTTGTAAGGCATGAATTTAGGACAATCGAGGTTATGTCTAGAAAAAAATCCTGATTGAAGCTTTCTATTAGCTTGTATGACAACGAAGATCTGTACCAACCTCGCTTCAGCTTAAGAAGACCAGTTGATAAGATCACATAAGTAGATATATCAACTATCTATGCCGAGGTTTATAGAAAGTCGATCTTTCGAGTTACTTTCTATTAGCGTTTTTGGAATTGTGCACCGTTACCTAGATACCTCAATAGCCTGTCTTCCTGGTTTACGGGCTCCAGCATAATTTCCATTTTTTCGGAGTTTTGCTGGTCCATCCATTATGGTGTCCTGAAGTCCCGAGGTCAGCTTAGCCATAGTCTACCGCAGTTCGTCACCACAGGCAGCCGTTGCCCATGCGGGTCAGACGGAGATTTGCTACCATGCGACCAGTTTGATATCGGGATAGTTAATGCATCCTGGGATTGGTTTACTCCTAGCTGGGTTTGCTGATGGAAGCTCAGGACTCCTTCTCAGCTTGGGAGACCGTGCTGAGAGAGTGGATCTCCCGCTCTACGTGGAAGCCCGATACCCAGGAACACCTATCCACCATGAGAGTTTACTAACTTTTGATTGATTGAGGTTTTAAATAAAATAACTTTTGAAATATTAAGATTTGACAATACAACTAATTCGGTCAAATTCACTTTGTTTTATCGTGTTTTTTTTTTTTAATAAACTACCTTGTATATGTTTCTACTCGTCTGCACTAATTCCCATTTCGTTGAATTGATCAGAATATAAGTTGAATATTTTTAAATGTGTCATGTTCATCAAGAGTGGCGATATTCTTTGGCGACCAGATTTAGAACAGTTTTGTGTGTTATGAATATTTCTATGGCGTTTTATTCTTAATGATCCCAACGGCTTACCGCCTCTTCGTGGCTGGGAGATGTTCCCGCATGTTGTGCTGCGATGTACTGCGGTGGGATTCATTCTCCAGTAGGGTCTCTCAAGCTGAGAAGGAATCCGGCGTTCTCATCAGGAAACGCATCGAGGAGCAAACCAATACCAGGATTCGCTACCGTCCTGGTATCAGATTAGTCGTATGGTGGCAAATCTCCTTTCGATCCACAAGCGCGGCGACTGGTTGTGGCGGTGATGACCTGGGGCAGACATTGACCAGGCTGACCTCGGGACTCCAGAGAACCCCAATGGGTAAGCCAGCAAGACTGCGGAAAATTAGAAGCTATGTTAGGGACCGCACAACCGGTGAAGACGAGCCATCCAAGTATCCAAGCAAGTAAGTTCGTTCTTAATAAGTGCTATCTCTGGGAACATTGTTTTTTTTAAGATTCTCTTGACTATTTGACTTCCAGTTTATATAGTGGTATTGTTAAGAATTTTTTTCTTTATAGAAGTAAACATGTACAGTTGTTGTGATTACTTTATGCTCACTTGTTAGTCGTCGTCGTCGTCATCGCAGTTCTTGGCCGTGCATGTGTTCGCCTCCGATCGCTAAGGATTCATCCAGTCATCAACGATCAACACAACAGTTGTGCCAATGCACACTTTTGTTTTTCGGACTGACACACAGATATTTTGAGTAGTGCATAAATCCTATTTCCCATCGTTGCGTCCTTTTTTTCCTTTTACATGTTACATATGTCAAGTTCTTATTGTGTCATTTCGGCGAGAGCTTCGTATGAAGAATGTTGTGCTTTGTAACAAACTCTCATTTAAGCCTCTGTTATTACTGCATTAATCAATCAATCAAGCAATGATAGCGTAACATGCCAGTTTTCGCTTATCAAGGCCTATTTCCCGATATGTAAGAGAATCCATGTCCAACCTTTTTTCCACCTTCATGTTGATGATATCAGTTCACGGTTTTTATCGATATGCAAACAGCAGGTGAGATTCGTCGCGTTCGTTGCTCATCAGCAAGAAATGATTTATCTCATGGCAATTATTTGTACTGGTGTGCTAGTCGCAATTAATGTCATAATTATGATTCTATGTGAAGTCGTGCTTGTGCTGTTCTACTAGTTCATACCGATTTTATTACACTAATAGAATCAGCTGGATCTCATGTGTGGGCGTGCGTTGTTGTGGGAGTCTGTGAGTGTACAATTTCTGCAGCAGTCCCTGCCATGGTAATGTTATCGAGAGGAACCACCCGACCTCTGACAACTCCGAATTTCTCGTTACACGTTTCAAACTTGGAACCTCTTTTTGAATGCATTCAGTTTCGGATTATTTGCATTCGTTTTTTCTCTTGTATGAGTGTGGATTTCAGAAGTGTCGAGAACATCATAGTTATTGCAGCCAGTTTGTAAATGTGTGTATATTAGACGTAGTATTCAAGTGCTGAACTGTTGCCTATGTTCCCCAGTTTCTTCGCATGCCATGCCATCAGACCCAGTCTTCGTTTGTGCATATATATGTATATATACATATGCATATATGTAAGTATACATGTGTACATATACGTATCTGTATCTATACATATCTATATCTATATATGCATATACATATACATGTGTCTAAATGTATATATACACATGCATATATAGGCAAATATATACATATACATAAATATTTACGCAAGAATGAGGTTGATTTTAAGTGATTCAGAAACCAAAAATTGTGCTTCTCGCTTGCTCATTGGTCCATAGTTTTTGATTTTTGCTGATCTTGCTTTTAGGTTTCCAGGATTTTTCTCATATAACCAGTTTTTCTTACATATGATGCAGATGATGTGAATCGATGTAAACTATCACTGTTTGCGAAGGGCGCGTGTATCTCAGTGGTCGGAAGCGCTCTGAAATACACATAGAATCGATCCACTGTCCCAGGATTACCAACCCTTTCATCCCTCCTGGGTCTGCAACTTGGTACCAGACTTGTCTGGAAGGATGGTAGCACTGGCTCAATACATCGGTAGGCTACAGCGAGTGAAAGGCCAGATATGCATTCATTGACCTCTAACAATGCTTAGTGAAATCGACCATAAACTCCTTAAATTGAGCTCTGACTAGTGACACCGTACTCCCTCAAAATTAGTGATCCTGAAGAGAGGTGAAAGGGTCTATTTCAATTTAACAGTCGGATCACTCCTTTGACTCTACGGCGGTTTAAGCCATTTGGAATGTGAAAACTCCTACAATTTCTTAATCTGTAGTATAAGTGTAATGTTTGCCTGCTGACCAACTTCTTAAAGACCTGTGTGTTTTCATCTTATTATGTCTTATTTCAGCAACATGATAAGTTCCAGTTCACGAATATCAACCATTTCCTCAATCCTGACAATATCAATGGCCTCACAATGCCAAAATGTCATTCCTCTTGTATTACGCCAGTTTTAATAGTTTTATCTGAAGTATTTCAAAAAAAATTCTATTACAAGAACTCTATCGGCAAGAAGGCTAAAAGGTTTCCAGGTGGGTAAATGTTAGCGGTCTTAAAATGTGACCATATGAAAATCCGTTGTTTCATTCATAGAGTATGGCGGCCAGTTTAGTGCGTCGTAATGACCTGTCATCTTTGGACACCCGAAATATGGTTCGATTCACGTTTCCGATCCCATTACTATTCCATTCCATCGAAGTTTGACATTGGCGTTATGTTTATCTGTGAGTGAAAGCATTCACATGGGAATCGTGAATCATCACCTCGATATCTCAAGGAATTCACAATGTCGATACGAATCTGGTGAATGGAACTCGGTTTGCTCAACTTCATCTGTGGCAGAGAATTTGCAACCAGAACGGATTAACCTTTAGATATCAGTCATTTATATTTGTAATTATGTTGGTTAGAAGAAGACATATTCATCTAAAACTATTGGTGATCTCATTTTACTTACGAAAAGCTGAGCAAATGTTTTCAGCTCTTATCTATGCTGTAAATAGTATGAGAACCCTTTTCTTACTTTTTCCTTCTTGAAATTTTGGAAATTTTATGACGTTCAGGATTTCGTAGTTCTTTCACTTGTGAAACTTTTCCTATATTTCCGTTTTTTTCCCCGCGTTTTTCTTTTCAGTTTATTTCTCACTGAAGGTACGGGTCTTGGCCTATAGTAACCTATGATAAGTAAAATGTAACCTAACAAAATCAATAAGACTAGAGTTTACAACTCTGTATAAAAGATATATCTAGTTAGTAGTTAATTATTTAGTCATTAGTTACTAGTTATTAGTTTTTAGTTGAAGTAAAATTGAAAGTTTCTATATACCACAACTCTTCTAGGTGTGTCTTCAACAGCGACTTGCTTGTTCAACACTTTTTAGAAGGTATTGAGTTCGATACATGGATTCTTTCAAATCTCATACCGTTGCTTATACGACATGTCTTTGGGCGTTGCCATATAACCGAAGTGGTCCCTTTCGATTCATCAAGTCCGCTAGAAAATGTTGAAAGTCTTAGAAGATTTACAGTTTCCCCAACATTATTTCTCTGCTGTAATAATTTCGTTGGGATTACAAACATTATAGTGGATGGATAATTCTACGTTCACTGCATATAAAAGTCGCTTTCATTTTCTTCCTTTGTAAATTTGAGTACAGAATCCTTTTCGCTCGTATTTCACATTTCTTTGTTATTCTCACTTTTTAAGTAAAAACAAAGTTTGTTGAAACGTTTCTCTTCTTCGCTTATATCTGCTCCAAATAGCGTCTTAGAACGGTCATAATCTATGGCATCACTTTATCTTGTTCTTCATCTACCCTAAGGGTCCTATCTTACTTGGATACTTGAATGGTTCGCCTTCACTGGTTGTGCTGACCCCAGCATAATTTCCGTTTTTCGGAGTTTTGCTAGTCTAGCTGTTGTGGCTTCCTGGAGTCCGGAGGTCAGCCTGGACAAAGTTTACCCTAGGTCGTCAACACCATAGGCAGTCCGCCTTTGTGGATCAGAGGGAGATTTGCCACTAAACTACTAGTTTCATACCTGGATGGTGGTGGATCCTGCTACTGGTATTGGTTTACTATTAGATAGGCTTTCTGATGGAAACGCGGGACTCCTTTGCTTGAGAGACGCTGCAGGAAGCCGAATTACCCCGCTCTATATCGCAGCCCGACATCCAGGACCACCTCCCAGGCACGATGAGACGGTAAACCGTGAAGAGGTAAGGGTCTATCTGCTTCACGAAACTTTTTAGATCAGCGTTGCTTACTACCGTCAACGGTTAATTGACCAAAAATTGTGGGCTTTTTAAGCCATTTTCGACCCAGCGGCCTAAAGTGTGAATTGCTATAAAACCAAATACGTCGACGAAGTGAGTCGTACATATTCTTAATCTATTTAAAATCGTATGTAGAGCAATATCTCAAATGCTGTATGTATGTACCTCGAATAATATGTAAAACGTTAGCTGAATAAAACTTTGTACCAACCTCATCTTAGCTCAGTTGTGCAGGAGATTACTTGTATTTAGAATACTTTTTATTGAAGATTTGTGGTAAAAAAAAGTGCGTTTATGACCTTCATATCGCTGAATTGAAGATTTCATGCTTGGTAAGTAATACGTGATACTATTTCCCTATCACAGACTGCGAAACTCTAAGCAAGTGCGAATTCGCCTGCTCTTTATGGGATTTTCTCCAAACGAGTTGGAATTTGTAAGCAAAACTGTTTGTAGGAATTGGTTGGGTTTTCAATATTTCGTGAAGGAGAAAATTTTCTGCAAATGTTAATGAGGAAACTTGATTGTTAGCTACTGATTACTATATTGTTGGCATTTTTATATTATTATTATTATACGTAACCTTTATGTAAAGTCTACTCGGGATGCTTCGAGGAACAATCTCTTGATGAGGAATAAATGATTTTTCTCATGAAACAAGGTGGAACGAAAATTTTTTCAGTAAATACAAAGGATAAAGCTCTCGCGGTCTACTAATTCCTGCGGGATGCTCCATGCATTCCACTTCATTAAGTATCGTTGGAGGTGATTGAATGCATATCTGGCCTTTACAATGACTTTCGGTAGTATACCGATGTATCGAGCCAGTGTTGCTATCCTGCCAGACAAGTCTGGTACCAATTCACCGACCCCGAGGGGATGGAAGGCTCGGTGGGCCGTGGGTCCGGGGATCTATTCCACGTGTATGTCACTGTGACGCCTCCAACTACTGCGCTACATGCGTCATTCCAGTAAATATACGCATAGAAATTGTTACGTTAAATAGAAATAGATGCTAAGTAGTTAAAATCTTATTTAAAAACAGCCTGCGGAGATTTAAATGACAACGTCTGCTTTTTATTGATAAGCCGGTTGAGAACCCATCGTTATTTGACTTTTCTTACCAAGATTCCGATCCTTTTTTAAACTGTTATTTCTGGCTTTTTTATTTTTAAATTACCTTTGTGATGAAAAGGCTTTGCTAACTTTTGTTCTGATTGGCTTTTTTTTTTTGGCTCGGCGCTAGAGATATCCAGCGGCATTCTTAAATACATAAGTTTGTTGTTCGTGCTTAACAGTTGCACGATGACATGACCTCTATAAGGAGTCATGCAATACCAAAATGGTGACTGCCTTGAATTTTAAATCAAAATATCACAGCTCATAGTAAATTTCATTAGTTCCAATCATAAATGTTAAAATGTACAGACTTTTTGTCTATACGGTAAAAGTCCTCTTTTTTGCGCTGTTGAAATTCTGGTTCCCGGGTATCCCTGAATGTATCGTTGACGCTTGGATTACCGCTCACACATGGTAGGAAATTTCTAAGAAATTAGCTCGTGTTTTCATTCGTTGGGAATTTCAACTTCATGGAACGTTTTAAATTAAAGGGATATTTTCAAAAATTATGCACGCTTTTAACTTTTTAGAGCAGAGCATTTTCTTTAACTATGTAGTGTTTGTAACCGCACTCTGTAAATTGGGGAGTTTATTGTGTTTTCGAAAAACGTGCTTTGTTGCGTAAACGTTTATTGGTACTTTTAGTGCTCTTGTGGTATTGTTTAGCCTTTAAATTGATTGGCATCGTAGCAGGCCTAGTTCTGGAAGGTCGTTCAATATAAGGCAGATGTCGAAGTGTTTCTTGTAGAGAAAACAACCGTGTTTATCACTCTCTTCAATCATTTACACATGACAAGTGCTTTGCTCGAGCTTTTTTTGGATTTCTGGTTTTCGCAGTTTTGTTGTAAATATTGTTGATACTTATACAGTTGAAGTACAACATAATTCCTTGTATTAATTTTTATGCCGTCCACAATTCCATTTCTAGGTCGTAGCTATCACATGTCCTCAGAGCAGCAAAATACTCATGACAGTGCTGTTTCAGAGCCTTCTACCTCGAGGTGTTGTCACTTCTTTGTGATTAAGCTAATTTTGTTCCTTGCTCTTAGATTTGCGATCTAGACTGGTAGAATTGGAGCACATTGATTATTGTTGTTAATTCTTCTAGGTGTGATAATCAAGAACCCATCAAAGGTATACTAAAGCGACCTTCATTGAAGTATGAAGACAGAAATCAGGTAGATAAATTGACATTTGGCAAACATACTTTCCTGTGCGATTATATTTGATTTTTAAACCACTCGTTGTCATCCGTGTTTAAAAATTTTAAAAATGCGCAGTATGGATGAATTCGAAGGCCTCAGATTGCTCTGATTTTCTACACTTCGATGTTGAGCAACATCGAATGAATCAAACATATCAATAGGATAAATGAAGGATGAAGCTCTCGACATTAATCACTCCCTGAGAGCTGCGTAATCAATTTGGTTTCATCAAGCATCGTTAGAGGTGATTGAATGCATATCTGGCCTTTACAATGATTCGCGGTGGCCTACCGATGTATCGAGCCAGTACTGCTATTCCCCAGACAAGTCTAGTAGCAATTTGGCGATCCCAGAGCGATAGAAAGCTCGGTGATCCTGTGGCAAGGGATCAATCCCATGTTTATTGCAGGACGCCTCTGCTACACTCGCCCAAAAAATGTTAAAAACTGTTATCTCGTGGTAATTATAATTTAGCTGATTTAGGTCTTACCAAAGATCACTCATCGACCGTCGCCTGATCATTTCCCTGATGAGCCGGCTACGCGAATTCCAAAGCTTTCTGTAACATGGTGGGAGAAAAACGCTGGTGAGCATTTCACTGTTAATAATTTTTGCTGTCTTACTATTAGTAAATTTAATACTAATACTTCAAATCCATTACAAATAACTAAATCCAAAAATAATTCTTATTTAAGACTGATTAGACTTTCATATTTTCTATGTTGCCTTGTACTTTACGTTTTCTTGCGTTGTTCTCTCTATAAGGCAGTGTGGTGTGTGAGTCACGTTCGTTGCTTCAATCGATTCGGTAACACTTAAGATATCCGTCGATTCGGATGTGGTTCTATAGTAGCGAATAAATCCATCAACAAAGAAACAGTGGCTTTTTCATCATAAAGGGTTCATAATGAACATGGTGCGATCACTGCTAATAGTTTACCTACTTCGTCATCTAGTCTGGCAGTGTCATGGTGTGGAACTACGATATACTGCAAGGGCTCTTTCATAGAGCATTCTACGAAAACCATAGCACGACTTTGGAGGCACCAGGAAAAGTAATCGTTTTGCAGTTTGGAAAAGTACACAGTTTGGATCTGGTCCATGCAGCATATATTTCTTGACTTCAGTGCGTTTTTAGACTGCGCTCTAATGGTACGTGGTCCTACTAGTCCGACAGGCGGAAATGGCTGCGGTGCTTATAGGCTTAAAACATTGAAATTTCACTGTAATAAAGAAATCTGTCTTTAAATCTGACCCAATCGTAATAATTAAACATGTTCCAGTTCGATAAATGATGACCTAAGCGCAGGAATATGATGTAGTCCGAATGGAGTGTCTTATTTATTTCTGATCATCGTTTTTTTCTAGCTTGCTTGGTAAGTTCGTAATAATATTGTTCAGTGGCCATCTTTGGAGACACAAGCGATGAAAATAATACGGATTCTGAGCAGTTACTCAAAGATCTGGGCAATAGAGTCAGTGATGCTCAGGAGTCAGAACAAAGGTGACGTCACAAATGTTTAGAGGGTTTTTCTTATTGAAGAACTTTTTTTCCGCGTGGACTCGCTTTATCCAGGCAAACCGCAATCCTGGATTCTGAGGATGACTCGGGGAATGTGGTTCTTGAATCGGAAGATTTTTGCGGTGAGTATTACTGGCTGATAATACAGATTCTGTCACGATGAGCTGAAATGTATTCAGACGAATCTCGTGACGATTCAGTTAGTGTTGCTAGTTCGACAGGTTCAGCTTCATCGAGTGTGGTGGGAAGGTGGTGGACTGGAAAGGATATAAGGTAGGTTTTATTCTAAGTAATCAAGTCTATAGATGTATATGAATCAGGTATATAAATGTATGCAATGGGTTGGTTGTTGGACGTTAGAAACTTCATCCTAGTTTATCAAAATTTAATCTTTCATTGAATATGGTTGCCTAGTTTTTCATATACGGAATTTAGAAAGGTAATATCTGGCGGTTGCAGCAATGGACTAATGGTTTCTAGTTTTCGTGGTCATAATAATAGGAATACATGAAGGGGTAAGAGTGTAATGTTAATAGTAGTCATTGACACAGCAACAGCATAGAACATGCTATCTGGACCTCGTACTACGACTTCGCTTGATTTTGACCTCAAAGAAAATTACAAGTTTCGATTAGTATTGGCCGCAATTATAACCTACGTAGTTTTGATAGATTTTCGAAAATCGTCGGTAATTTTCTAGAAGTGCTTCACATTATTCTGTTCTTTTTAGGTATGTACCTCATTGTCAGAAGCGTGGTTGCAGTCACAGTCAAAGCGACACAGCCGGAGCCGGTTACCTTACCCCAACCCAACGAAGAAATAAGGCAATATTTCTGTTACTGTTATAGAAATATTCTTTTCAGTATTATTGCTATTTTACACCGTTTTCTTCATTTCTGTAGGAAATTAGTGACCTGAAAAGCGAATTGCGTACTGCACTGAAGGAACGAGATGAAAAAGAGAAGCATTTAGAAGAATTAAGGGAACGAATAAAAGAGGTAATTTGGTGGGTAGATTTCTCCAAAGAGTAGTTGGTTTGTAAAGTTGTGCCTTTCCATCATTATAGGTTGAATTGCTTAACATCAGACAAGCTTCCTTATCCGATAGTCATCGCTTAATGATGAGAGAACGGAAAGCGGCCGAAACCTTCGAACGTGAGAAAAAGCAGATCGAACGCCGCCATGCTATCAGAGTTAATCAGTTGATACATGAGACTCTTGCAGCTAGGTGAATTTCTCAGTTTACATTTTAGAAGGTTTATAGGAGTACTGCGTTCCCACATTTTCAGAGAGGAAGTATTACGATTAACAACGAGAGTTAAAGAGCTAGAGAAAGTCGTCAACGTTCCACGTGTGGATTCGGAAACGATGACAGACGCTGTACAGGTATCAGAGTTGCACTGTGTTGAGCATTAAAATGATGTATTTTTTTGATGTTTTTTCCAATGATGTTTTATAGCTAAAATATTTTTAGTTCGTTCCTTTTGTTTCCCAAAGCCCTTTGACGGTCGATCCAGTTGATCCGAATCAGCAGAATTCTGAATCGGGTCTGAAGTTTTTGAAGCATTTCTATAGTTTTACTCTGAATAGTGAATTTTTCTTCGTATTTCCAGTTACTTTCTAGTTTTTTTCCTTCTTAAGAGTACAATTGCAAGTCTTGGTGTCTAGTCCGGAGATCTTGTACGAGTTGTTAAAATACGTTAATGTTTGAATTTATCATAAGAGGCATCAAATACAGTGTTGAGTGGCACAACGTGCTGTTTTACAGTTCTGTCTCCACCACCGCCGCCTACAACAACAACGGCTACAACAGCAACAGCAACATCAACATCAGTTTCTCTGATGACATCGTCGCAAGTTTGCGGCCTACCCGAGCAGGTTATTTAATCTTTTATCTGGTTTATTGGCAGCTTTAGGAGTATGTTGTTCAGACTTCCATGCCATCGTCTTTACTAGCTTCACCGGTGTACGTGGAGTCAAAAGTAATCGGCCAACAGATGTACCTGAACCAGGAAGCGCTCAATCATATCCAGGCAAATTATTTCAGCAAAAAAATTGATCTATTAAGACCTTCACTTATAAAATTTCGAAAAGTGTTGTATATACATGAATCAGTGTGAGCATGCCTATTCTTCAGTTACTGTTCCTACTTTCTTTTGTGGAATTTTTTTCCTAACCTTGATGGAGGGCGCTGCGACATACGTGGAATCGATCCCTGCGCCCATGGCCCACCAAGCCTTCCATCCCTCTGGGGTCGGCAAGTTGGTATCGGACTTGTCTGCGACGATAGGGGCACTGGCTTGATACGTCGGTAGGCCATTGCGAGTCATTGCAAAGGCCAGATATGCATTCAATCACCTCCAATGATACTTAATGAAGTCGAATGCATGGCACATCCCTCAGGGATTGATCAACGCTGAGAGCTTTATCTTTTATCCTTTAACCTTGATAGAAAGAATTGATGGTGGGAATCTATTGATTGCTGTTGGATTTGCATAAGTTTTATTTTTTTCACTGTTACAGGCATGTCAGAATGAGGCTTTCATATGGCGGACGAAAGCCGCTCAGCTGGAAATCGTCGTCAAAGATCAACTCGCGAAGGCGAGCCGTATTGAAGAGGCCCTTCGTGCAGAGCTTTCAGCTGCTCGAACTGAGCACTTACCATCTACTACGGTGAGATCATTGCTTTTTCAATAATTCTTATCTTTTTCTGCTGGGTACTACTTTAAGTTTCAAATTTCATAATGATTTGCGTAAACGCAGAAATAGTAGTAGAAAAATATGATTTCGTTTCCTTCTGGTATCCTTAGCGGTAAGATCTCTTCAAGACCGAATAGGCAGTATGTAATGGTTAATCGTTGGTACTTTGGTAGTTTTTTTTTTCTCCGTATAGGATCTCCAATTGTTTTGCATTGAACAGCTTTTTTTCTTTCGAATCTTTTCAATCCAGCCCAGTCTTTTTGTTACTTCTTCCCAAGGACAGGTTTCGACAAAGTCAATAGGAATTGGTGCTGATATCATTACTAGCACTCCTGCACGTGTTTCGCCGGTTTCGTTTGAATGCACGATACCGTCATGTATAGAGCGAAAGAAGAGTCTAATTCAAGAAAATGATCGACTTCTTGGACAGGTATCCTATCGTTTTAACTTTCCACGTTTTTCAGCAGATATCATAACCTGATTGTTTAGATTAGCCAGAAATTTGCATAAAGGTTTACTTTCGAGACGAGAAACATATCTATGCTTTCTTTTTTCTTCTAGTTTTGGTGTTATAACGTACTTTATTATTCTATGTTTCAACTGGAGGGTATGGGTATTCTGCCTAGTGGGGGATCTAATGAGAATTATACTTTTCACCCTAACAATGACGCGTATGGCGTGGTGGTTGGAGGCGCCCTGAAACACACGTAGGATCGGTCCCCGCGCCTCTGGCCCACCAAGCTTTCCAACCCTCCGGGGTCGACAAATTGGTACCAGACTTGTCTGAGAGGATATTAGCGCTGGGTCGATACATCGATAGGCTACCGCGAGTCATTGTAACGGCCAGATATGCATTCAATCACCTACCATCGATCCCTAGTGAAGTCGAATGCATGGCACTTCCCTCAGTGATCAATGCTGAGAGCTTTATTCTTTATTTATTCTAACGTGAATAAAAAAGATGAAAGATGATGCTCATTAGAGTCGTTGCAGTTTATATTTTTGTCTTTACGGTTTAATAAAAACAGTACAATCAAGCTTTACCGTGGCTTGAACTGCCAGTGAAAAAGATGATGGTGAGATTAAAATAGCATGATTGTAACAAGTGTTTTCTATCGTACAAGCAATAGTAAGACTATAAAATTACAATATTCATATTCCCAAGACCAATTTTCTGTTAACTTCGGCATTGATTGATAATTCGATGTTTTTCTTCAATAAGCAGATACGAGGTTGTTATTATACAATTTATTAGGATACAATAGGTGACGTTTCGGCGGTTTGGCCTTCTTCAGAGTCTGGAAAAGTCAAATTGAGATGCGATCTGCTCAGCTAAACACTTTCATAACTCCAGCAGATAAAACTTAACAAATAAATTTACATCCGCATAAGATACAGCTTCATTTAAACACCTACCGTTTATTTGTTGTAAGTATTTAAGTTAGTTGATGGATAACAGACGGACAGAGTAATACATGGGCGAGGACTGTGTCTCTGTCAGGTCATTGGATTAGCCTGAACTATGGCGCCAGGTTACGCGTGATGGCAACACACTCCTCCTTGCGGTTCATCTTCGAATTTTTGTAATTGATCCAAAACGCTTCAAGAGTTTTACGCGCTGATGTTTTCGATTCGTGCGTGAGGATAGTGACTCCTACTTCAAGATCTTCTCCGTTGTGTTCCTGCATCCTATGCGCGCCTAGTGGAGTGTTTGTTTTACTTTAGACTTACCGACTAGGTGTTCTTTTATGCGGACGCAGGGCGGTCTACCCGTTTCGCCAACGTATTCGCGCCCTCACGCTTTGCAAGAGATCAGATAGACTGTACCCGAATTCATGCAATCACCATGTCTACCGTTAGGGCAAATTATGCAGTTTTTCGTTATACATGGACGGTCGTATAGGCGGTTGCGAACTAACTGGTGTCTTAGAGTGTTCGATGGTATTTCTATCACTCTTACAGATTTCTGTAGACCGGCACTTATTAAGCAACGTTTATGGCTGCACTTATTTCGTTTGAAATAAAGGGCAAGAGGAATGGAGATTTGTTCTCGCTAGAATTATCGCTCTGTGGCGTGGTTTTCCCTCTATACCTATGCCGAAAAGCTACAGTTTCGTAACCATTTGACATGGCTATTTGGCACGCCAGTTTCGAGGATTCCACATTCTGCTCTCCACCTGTGCGCACGCTAGTGGCGACTCGGAACATATTTCTTATAAGCACCTTTTTATTGTGTGAGGGATGAGAGCAGAGGTATCGAACTACTATATTCTTAGTGCTTTGCTTTCGATACCATTTTGTGTTGTAGTCGTTTTCGGATAGGTTGATTTTTTATTTAAACGTTTAGAAATGGAAGCCAGTTTTCTTTCGGTTTCTCACGGGTGAATTTTATGTACGCTGACTGTTCGTTCAACTCCTTCGTGTCCCTCGACTGCTACTTCGTGTTGCTCAAGAAGCTCGTGGATGGCTTGCATTGCGGAGTCGTTCGACACGTTAGTGTAAAAGGTGGTAACGTTGAACAACTCCATAAGGTACGCGCTTTTGGGACGTGCGTTGCGCAGACGGTATAGGAACATTTGGGTGTTCGTGAGACGGGCTTGTATGTGCTTGAGCAACTGGTTGAGGATTAGATTTATAAACCAAGCAATTCTATCCGTAGGCCCGTCTACACAACTGATGATGGGTCTAACGTTAAAGGTTGAGTGGTCGGTAGACGTCAGGTCATCAGCGCGTATTAACTTATGTCTCTTGATAAGTAACTATAAAACAGGACATGTCGGCACTTCGATCTTAGGATGCGAAATGTCTGCTGGTTTTTAAGCTGCTGCGCTTGCCATTTTGACCCATTCGTTGTTCAGTTTCCGATTTTGACTTCTGAGTTCCTGAACCTTGAATTTATTTGTTGAGTTTTATCTGCTAGGGTTATGAAAGTGTTTGGCTGAGTAGATCGCATCTCAATTTGACTCTTCCAGGCTCTGAAGAAGGCGAAACCGCCGAAACGTCAGCTATTGTATCCTAAATTCTATAATAACAACCTCGTGTCTGCTTATTGAAGAAAAACATCGAATTACAATATTCATATTTCAGATCGAATTAAGCAATTTACGAATCAATGAATTGGAACACGACGTCAAGTCATTACGACACGATCTAGGGGTTGTAGAAGATCATCGGTATTTTATCACTCGGATAAATATATATATATATATACATTATGTATTGGTTTCGTGACGGTATTCTTGTTAATAGCGATAAATTCAGTGATCGTCTTAAACATCAACTGGAAACTGCGACAAAGGAGCGCGATTCGAAAGTGGCGGAAGTGGCTGCTTGTGGTATCGTCATAGCTAGACATCAGGTCGGCCGATTTGACAGAGACTTCCTTAAAATCGGGTTCTGAAATGAGAGGAACGGTTTATATCAGTGATATCATAGTTAGGAGTGGTATGCTTGCCGTAGAATATTGCTGATAATATGTGGCCTAAAATTTATCGTAATAGTTCGGAAATTTTCAGGAATTTAATAAATTCGCACCAATATTAGCGTTTGATTGTTGTTGAAAGGAAATGAACTATGGTCGAAAATATGAAGTAATGGGTAAATTGTTACAAATCTAATTTTCTCGATACTTGGGTCGTTGTAATATTTAAATTGTCTTATTGTTTTTGCATAGTTGATTATCGGATCAATGCTGAAGAAAAGTGCTGATTAAATTATTGCTTTGTTTAACTATGATACAGATCGAGCTTGTTACATCGTGCTATATTAGCCCATGAAATGATTGAAGAACTGATCGCCGTCACATAGGAGTCTTAATCAAAGTACACAAAGCTTATTATCTATCACGAAGGGTTCGCAATCATCTATGGTTATCTCAGTCAAGCTCACCCAGCATTCAACATGTCACTAACCTTCAGCACCATGTAATACTCTTCTTTATGTGATGTCTCACTCCACTCAATTAGTGCGGTACGAGTACGAAGACCAACATCGCAAGAACTGAACTGCTGTAGTCATTCAATTCAAACCATCGCGTCTCAAAAGGCGAAAGCGATGAAAAGTTAGCCATAATAAAATATTCTTAGTAACAACTTGTTGCAAGCTTATGAATGCAATAACGTTGTTTGTTTATGCTGAAGTTAAATGAATGTCGGTTTCAAAAAAGGTTTCCGTGCTTGAAAGGTTCATTTAAAAAGTGAGAAGTGAGATTTTGAAAAAAGGAAAGCGTGAGGGATTTTTTTGCCTACCGTAGAACGTTAAATTTTTCTCAATTGTAGAGTGAGAAGGATACCATGCAAAAAGCGATTGCCTATATGGAAGAACGAATGCAGGTCTATCAGAATACGCTGATGGAAAACGATCTTGTTGTGAGTGATGAGAACAGTGCCGACTGGCATAGAGGATTCGTTGATCCGAGGTTGTTCATTTTAATCTGAAGATGAAAGAAAGTATTTGGATTACAAGGTAGTTTCTGTGATTTGGAAATTTCAGATATAATGTTATGGTTTCGAAGCGAATACAAACAACTCTTACTTCTGAGGCGCTTTCACAGCATGAGGATGAGTTCGCATTAGCAAAGGAGAAACTCGCAGTAAGCTCATTGATTATAGAGCAAAGGTGCAGGAATGTTTTGTGGCACTCAGGGGTTGTAGTTGTGTTACAACTGTGCTTAACTTCACATTTGAGTATTAAATACGTTATACATACCTGTATCACTTGTCATCCCGTTGGTTTTCGAGTGATTCGAGGGGGCGCTGGTAAATCTTCGTTTTCTCGCTTTCGCGTGCAAGAGTAGCCCGGTGCGTTCTGTTCGCTCTAGGGAGACTTTGAGCATCATATCTTCCTTCTAGGATTCTCTTCAAGAACTCTGGTAGTCGGATCGATAGTCTTCCTTCTGTGCATTTAGCTTTCCGAAGAATCCAATTACTAACGGCCGTTGTCCATCGATTGTCGTTCATAAACATCACCTGTCCTGCTCAACTTATGTTCGGTAGTTTGGGGTATAGAACGGCGTCTTTGATTTTTGATCTTTAGCATAGATCGAAGTTTCGGAACCCTTCTCTCACTAGCACGATATGGTATACTTGTAGCATGCTGTTTTTGATGCGTTCTATAACGCTGAGTAATCTTTTATCCTGCTTGCGTAGTGACCAAGTTTCTGACGCATGTGTTAAGGCAAGAAATGTGGAATCGAAAAGGTGGGTACGGAGTCGGGTGTTTTTCGTTCTTTTCACTACATTTTGGATGCCCTTAAAAGCTCCCTAGGCCGTTCCCTTTCTCCTGCACAACTCAGGAGCAATTTAATTCATAATATTGATTTCCCGACCTAGATGGACGTAACTGGAGCATTCGGAGATATTGGTTCCTTTGTATGTGAACGTGCCATATGAAGCTAAACAGTTCCTCATCAAGATCGTTCTGGTGAGATTTAACTGAAGAGTAAGTATTTCCATTGGCATTATCAAAGTAGGCAAGCGTTCGTTCGGCCTGGATAATGCTTGGTACTGTGAGAATGATGTAATCGGCAAAGCGAAGATCATATAATGACCGACCGCCGATTTTCACTCCCATCTCGTCCCATTCAGTTGTTCGCATGATATTATCCAGTGTAACCTTATGCAACTTTGGCGAGCTGATATCTCGTTGACTAATCCGGTGTTAATGTCGATGTAGAATGATGATATCTTAGTTGTAAAATTTTCATACAGGTCAAGAAGAATTTTTATGTACTGAGTAGGAGCTTCCTGACTTTCCACTGCTTCCATGACTGCTTCTATCTAAACTGAGTCAAAAGCCTTCTTTAAATCGATGAAAGTGAGACAAAACAATCTTTTGTACTCCCGCGATACTTCATTGAGACTTGTTATCGTGTGAATGTGGTGAATGTACTAATTTTTTTTTCGAAATTCTGCTTTCTCACATGGCTATTCTTCGTCCAGTATTCTGTAAATCCTGTTTAGGATGACTTGAGTGAAAAGTTTGTAGACGACAGTCAGCAAGTAGATTTGGCGTTAGTGATATCGTGGAGGTAACCCTTCTTGAAAGAGAGCGCGGTCTTGATGGTCTTTCATTGAGTAGGCACGGAGTCAGAGTGCAACCACCTTTGTCTTGTAATTGGGTAAGCTTCGGTGTGCTTTGCGTATGCTTTTCCTAGCCTCTGCAACTTCGACCATTACTGCTGCTCTTGCCTCTTTAAGGTCTTCTTTTATCGCCTGTCTGCATTGTTTTGCGAACTCGGACGTTAGTTCGCGGTTGCCTGCAGCTCGTGCGATTCCGCGCTGGCGTATCAGCTCGAGTGTTTCTGGAGACAGACGTGTCTTGGTGACTTTCGAACTGTCAGCTTTCTTAGCGCTAACGTGAAGATGTTGAATGAGCCGATAGTATTCTTCGTCGATGTTATCGACAACGGCATCTTCCCAACAGCCGACTAATGAATTGAATAAGTCCCAGTTTATGGTGGTTCTGGGACTTTCGTTTTTGAATTTAGCGGTTTTTTCTCTTTTCTGCGAGAAATGGAAATGGAATCGAGAAAAGGACGAAGGAGGCGGTGGTCTGATCCCGTGTAGAATTTTGGGACAACAGCGACATCGGTTAGGCAAAACGTTCAGTTTGCTGTGATGTGATCTGTTTTGTTATGGTACTCTCAATTGAGAGACTCCCTCGTTCAGCTTTGAGGGTGGGGCTTCTGGAATTGCGAATTGCCATAAATAGTCTCGATCGCCATGATGACCTCAGAAAGCTGCTCACCCTGTTCGTTCCATTCCAATCCGTGTTTCCCAATATGGCGTTCTTCAGACGCTCTTCTTGGTCCAATCTTGGTATTGAAATCTCCACTGATGACCTTAAAGAATGCATGGTCTTCTTTGTAGAATTTTTCCAAGACCATGTAGAACGCTTCGACTTCGTTTTTGCCACTGTTTGGTGTCCATTCGTAGAAAACGAAGATTGTCAAACCGGTGTTGACCCACATTTCTTCAGTCGTAGACCTCTGATTCGGGTTTTTCGCTGTTTAAATGGATCGGTGTTCATAACAAAATTCATGTTAACGACAGCGACGACGACGCCGACTCTCTATTACCATTTGTTCCAAGGAAGAGTGCTTTTCTGGTGTCATAGGGCGTTGATTGGGCGGCGTCTTCTCATCTCAACCAGTTCTATGACGTCTTACCTTTTGCTTCTTGTCTGCACGATCAATTCCTTTATCGTGGACTCGGGTTCAAGTGAGCCTGCATTGTAGGTACTGATCGTCTCCTTACTTCTTTCCGATTTAGGCAGCGCTGAGGTTTTAGTGTTTCCGTTCTCATTCTATCCAATGTTATCGTATCGGGCACTTCTCGGGGTCAGAACAGTGTGAGCCATTTATTTTAATGTTTTGGGTTTGACACCCACGGATGGTTTGCTGAACGCGGGGGTTAGGTGTGCTATACTTTCGGGTAGCTTGCTAATCTCTCCCGGAGAAGAGGGCAAGCTTATTTATTCAAGGCGACGTCTAACCACCTCCCTCATGGTTCCTTGTCACTTGATTGGAGAATTTTGGCCGAATTTGCTCGTAGAATACAATGCAAATCGACGCGAACACCCCCACCCATCGATGCATGGTATGTTCCCATAAACACAGAAGGTAGGTGCCAAATGGACGCAACAGAAACAGGTAGTCCATCTCCTTGATCCGTCTGCGTCTCATGGAAGCGTAAGGTAGCGGTTCGCGATTGCCCCCACCCACCCTTTATCCAATACCTTGGGACGCGCCACGTCTTGCGACTAACTGTAATGAGATAACAGAAAGATGATAATGTATTCAATAAACTATGATAACATGATGTGTAAGAAGTTACTCTGACAAAAGTGTAGATTTTATAATACGTTGATCCAGCAGTCTGTCGGGCATATGTAAATAGAAATGCAGGTCGATTAAGAAGGATAAAGTGGTAGCGGGGGTAAAAAGAGATCTGCCAAAATGTCCGATGACGAATTTTGGATAACAGATCAAGAGAGTTGTTACTGGAGTGAGTGTGACTTCTTCCTAGCTAGTGTTTCTGCACTAATACTGATGAGAGATTACAGGGCGTCTGTTAAGCATTGGTTTTTGAGAGTATTCAGCTATTGTTATATAATCGCATTACAAGTAACTTTCTAGCCCTCTACGAAGTAAGTAGATGAACAGGCTGTTAGCCTTCACTTTACAGATGTAATTGTACTAGGAGATAGAGAATCCATCTATTTTGCGGAAAATATTTTCTATGGTCAACGCTTTCACTGTAGAGTTTGGTTTTTGCAAAAATGAATCATTTTATGATTGCACTCAACTTCGCAGGAACTAAACGCCGAATTCACATCAAATCGTAGCAACCTTCATGAACGATTCGAGGAGATAGAGAAAATCCTGTTCACAAAGACTCAGGTCGTTGACACTTTGTCACGACAACTTGAGGAAACGTGTCGTGATCAACGCCAACAAATTGACGCACATCAAGAAGAACGAGAATCCTACAAAAAGTTGGTTTTTTAAAAAGGAGTCTTTGTAACTAAACCATTTATTCTATGTCAGGAAACTTGAAGAAATCTCAAGTGTAGCTGAAAAAGTGCCCGTTCTGGAGACTCGAGTTGAGCAGCTGTTAAAGGCAAGCCACAGTACTATGTCATCTTGTAGTTTTTTCCTTGAGATTGTTCAAATCGCATTACAGAAGGTTAGACAGGTTTGAAGAAGTGTAAATGTCATTTAAAAGATCATGTGTTCAAACTTGCAACGATTTTGAACCCATAACGGACACCCGTCGTTAAGCGTGGCTCTCCTAATGGAATACAAGCAATTCGCTGTCGGATGTGGCCATTCTGGTTTTTAACAGTAGAAAATATTTTTTCGATCACTAAATTGCTTTAGGGACTTTTAACATGACAATGCTGTAGAAGGGATTTTCGTGTGTGGGTGTAACTGATATGTATGCGACTTATTGTACCTGCGACTATTTACTTCCCAACGGTTTACCGCCTCATCGTGGCTGGGAGGTGTACCTGGGTGTCGGAATGTGATGTATAGCGGGCGGATTCCTTCCTCCGGCAGAGTCTCCCATGCTGAGGAGTCCGGCGTTTCCATCAGGAAGCCTAGCTAAGAGTAAACCAATACCAGGATCCACCACCGTCTTGGTATCAAAGTAGCATGATGGTAAATCTCTCTCTGGTCCACAAGGGCTACGAATGCCTGTCGTGGTGACAACCTGGGGTAGACTTTGGCCAGGCTGTCCTCGAGATTCCAGGGACCGAAATGGCTTAACCAGCAAATCTCCGAAAAATGGTGATTGTGCTGTGGCCCGCACAACTAGTGATGACGGACCGTTCAAGTATCAAGTAAGTTCAAGTATTTACTGTATGTTACTATGGCCCATTGTGCAGGTACAGTATTGTCACACTTGGCAGTATTTTGTACCCATTTTGAGTCTGTTTAGGTGTTGATTAAAATGGAATAGGATCTAATTGTTGGTCACATTACCGTACAGTAAACTTTTTTGAAAAAAAAAAGTTTTTATGATCTATTAAGTGTAGAAAACGGCCTTTTTTTCTCTTACCCTTCCTATTTTCACCTATGATCTGCTTTGGATTAGCTTTCAAATGATTTTATATAGTGCGGTAAAAAATTCTGGGACACACTAAACTGGAAGTGGAGATTATGCTGTCCATACCTTCCTCATGCCTCAACGCGTAGCGGCAGTATAGTGTCCATATCAATCGTTATGGGTTAAATGTGAATTTGTCTCATGTGCTACTTTGCCAGGTAACGATAATTAGTTTTCGGTGTATAGGTTCGTCGCAAAGAGTTGGTCAAACTAAGGTAGATCGAAGGATTCTTTGTCTCCCATAGCCAGCCATCAAAGTTAATCTCTTTTTGCGTATAGATGGTACCGCTTTCGCTAGTAGAAATATCACTGAAGAACCATTGGTTGCCCATTTTTTTTTTTGCTTTGTAATGACCAATACAGTTTTATAAAGGTCCATTTCACGTTTTCTCATTGCTAACTGCCGCTTGAAGATGTGTAGTTTTTATGATGTCCTAGAGAGAGATTCTGTTGGAGTTTTCTTTTTTGTTTCAAGTTGTTTATGTTTCGTTTTGTGGAAAATGTCATGAGCATGAATATCATAGCTACTTATTCTGGACGTTTTAGGAGAAAAGCGAATTAGGTATTCGTTTTTCTGCTCAACGTGATGAAATGGAACACGCTTTGGAAGACGCACTAACGGAAGCTCTAGGGAAATACAAGGAACAGGATGAGTACTGGAAGAGTAATCACGCCGATCTGAAGCAGAGCTTAGAACGGGCAAAAGTTAGTTTGCTCTAAGTATGGTTGTTAATATTTCTCTACAAAGAACTATTCTCATGACCACGTTCTCTAAATATGCTGGTGCTATTTGAAAATTCTCGAAAGTATCAAATGAATCCATTAGGAAGTAGCGAAAGGGGAAAATCCATAACATTGAATCAAAAAAGAGCAACATAATTTCACTATATTACAAATAACTGTGTGGTTCTTTTCTGGGGATCGAGTATTGTTTTATGTTGTTATATGCGTGTTTTGCGAAGTGGTTTGAACTTCTAATTTTCAATTGTTTACACACCTTTGCAGTTTTTTAAAAGGATCACATGCCTCAAGCATGACATTCATTCTTGCGCTGGTAGTACGGATTTTAGGCTGAAATCGCTCAACATGTCAAGGAGAAGGAGGATATGAAAATTAAGGCGAAACTGGAACGAGCGGATCTTGAAAATCGCCTCACCAGTAGCATCGAACATGTTGCTATGCTCGTTAACCAGGTACATCATTTCTCATTGTCAGTGCAATATAATGTTGAGCCAGAAGTTGTTATAAAACTTGGCGGAGAAGCGCATCAAAATATGCTAAGGCATGAAGAAGTGGGGAAACATAGACACTGTTCGGTCGAGATTCTTTCACTGTTGTTTCATTTCTTTAATCTATATGGCGTTACCGTGCTAAAAAAATGTAGTAATTCTTGAATCGACTGATGACCTTTGAAATCCTGTGAGGTTGCATTTCTATACATGGGCAAAACAGTACACTAGATTTGGCGGCACATTTTTACACTAGGGTAAACGGTTCTGATTTGGAGTTCAGTATAGAACATCATAATTCTTTCATGCCCATTATCTCTACAGTTGGTCTGCAACGTTGTGGTTATATCTGAAAGCGCGTTGGTTCCATTATGTCACAAAGACAGGTTATTCGTCAAAAGTCTATTGTGTGCAGTTAGATTTGAATACATTGCGCCACTTGTGTTTTTTATGATATCGCTATGGGGAACTATGCGCCACGATGTAATTGAGGTCTCGGTTTGTGCCACAGCTTAATAGCTGAGCACTTAGAAAAATGCTTAATGGACTTGGTAAGTGCGAAGTTTTGCGCATTTTATTTGATCGATAGGTTCATTGAAATGTCCAAAGACAACCAACTCTTTGTCTTCTACAGTTCTGTTCTTCACTATTTTCACTGAACACCTTAGGAGCATACATGCTGTGGTCTCCACAGTCGGACAATTTCCATCTAGATTTGTTCTTCACCCCATCTTTGTTCTTCACCACATCATTTTTCATGAAGTATATGATTTTTCCGATTTATTCACATTGTTACACTCCTCTCCATCTGGTTGACTCCGTCCTGGTTTTCGAAATTTTTAATCTTTTAATGTTTATTTTGTGGTGTCTTTTGTCTAAATTAACGGTGCGCATTGGTTTGAATGCGTGTATCTCCGTGAATAAGTCGGCCATTCAAATTTAAACAAACATTTCTTAGCTAACGCTGAACTTTACTAGTTGAAACAAAAGTCATTATTATCTAAAGGTCATTGCCAGTAAAATAAATATTTTCTTTTTCTGCCACGGAGAACTTCCGATTTTTCTTTTTGGAGCCTAGAAATTTTTCTTTTCATCGAATTAGTATTTCGGTCTGCGAAGCAACTGAGCAAAGGGCCATTCGTCCATCACGATGCAGTAGTCTTTCTTATTATAATATTGGTTAGAAAATGGGTATTTTTGAATTTCAAACAAGTTCAAGATCATTGATGTTTTAAGGGAGCTTTATTTTACTTAAGGCGATGGGGTAGCGTCTCCGCTATAAGTTTGTTAAGTTTTCAATTCCTAAAATGTCCAAGTTCTCAATAATGTATTGGAATTTGTGGAAAATCCCTTTAGATGCTGCATGAGTTGAACGAAAATCGAATCACAGAGTCTTTTGTGCACTTTCATTTCTTTTATTGCTTTAATTTAGTAAAGTGTAGTCATGTATGATTCTTCTTTGTCTTCCACACATCTTTCTGAGTTTTCTAAGCGCTTTTTCCTTGCAAAAATGTGGACATCTTGCAAGAATAAGTGCTTTACATCAAAAGTACTCGAACCTCTTCTAGGAACTCTGGTTCGGCAGTGAAGAGTGCTGTTGTTTGAATGAGTTAGTAACTTATTTTTCGCCCCTTTTTCAAAATAGTGCTAAGCCCGTTATTTGCAAGATTAGATATAGACCTTGTAAGATTGTGAAGGACTAAATGGGAATCAAGAGCTATTATGTATGTTGGTGATGGTTCAGGGGGAAAGCTTACTTTCTTTTTATGTTTAGTTGTATCTTTCACAAAATCGTACTTGTACTCTTAATCGTATTCACGCATATGGTGTATGGGCTTGTTTATTTATTATCTCAGGCAAGCACATTCATTCAAAAGTCTTTAAATGACTGAGAAGTACGTATGAGAGGTTCGCGGTCAATCTTAAGTACTATGTCTATTCAGGGAGCCTAAACCTAAGCGCACGTTTCTTCTTTTCGAAGGGAGTTGGAGAGATTATTGATGCTTGCGTGATTTACTCAATTGTTTTTTTTTGGGTGTTAATTCAATTTATTCTAAACTGGAAAGTATTGCTTTGATTAAAGATCAGAGTTAGACATGCACACACGTATTTTTAAGCTTTTTAGTTCAATTGAATCATCTAGTTCGACTTTAGGTAGTTCATCATTTCGATTCTTTTGCGTAAAAAATCTCAGATGAACAAAACTCGTCGTGACGTAGAATGCGAAGCACGTCCGAGGAATGTTAGCAAATATGTGGCATGTAGACCAAACACGAGAAGCAAATCGACAGTTATTACGAAGGTTCGTATGATTGCACTTGAAACGTACTGTTTTAAAGTTCTGGCAAAATTAATATCTTATGGCTGATCTCGGGGTTTCTTATATTAACTCACATAATTCCGCACCTTAGTTCCAGTGTGCTAGGATTCTATTGCAAAAAGATTTCATCCACTGGTCAATCATTGTGTTCCGCATATTCTGAGTGTTTTAGTAGGACAAAAAGCCGGAGTTTCGTCAGAATCACCTTCTTCAGAGCCTGGAAGTGTATATTGATATGCAGTTTATGATGCCAAACGCTTCAGTAACACACAGAAAGATGGAAATCCGAATGGTAACCACATAGTCAACAGCTTCTCGAAAACCCACCGTTTTACGTGTCTTCCACTGAGGAAGAACAGCTGATTAAACTCGCAAATGGTTAACGATTGCACAATCCCACATGATAAGTCGATTCCAAAATACGGGGCTGGATCACGTGTGATCCTTGAATTCTTGGCATTCCTCTCTGCTATTCATTCTAGGATTCTTCCAATTTATCCAAAAAGCCTCAAAAATTTTGAGCTTTTTTGGCATCTTGTGCCATTATACTTACTTGGGCAATTGGATGGCCCGTCTTCACTGGTTGTGCGGACCCAGCACAATTTCCATTGTTTCGGAGTTTTTCTGGTTTATTTATTGTGGTTCCCTGGTGTCCCAAGGTCAGCATAACCAGCTTCTGCTTCAGTTCGTCACCACTCCAAGCATTCTGTTCCCTTGTAGATCAGAGGGAGGTTTGCCACCACGCGACTAGTCTGACACCAGGACGGTGTTGTATCCTAGTATTGGTTTACTCCTACCTGGGCTTCCTTATGGAAACGCCGAAGTTCCTCTCGGCTTAGGAGACCCTGCTAGGGGGTTGGATCTCCGTGCTGTACCTTGCAGCCTGAAACCCAGGAATAGCTCCCAGCCACGATGAAGCGGTAAGCCGTTGAGGCGGTGCTAATGTAGTGACTTTTATATTAGAATTGCCTCGTCAATGCTTTTGTATCCTTTGCGGTGCTTAGTGGAGTACTTTGTCTTGTTTTTCGTTTACCATCTAGATGTTCTTTTATGCGGATACATAATTGTTTTCCCGTTTCACCAATGTGTTCGTCTCCGCAGGTATTACGAAGGATCAGATATATCCTAGCAAACCTATGCAATCACCGTTTCTGCCATAGGGGCAAGTTACGCAATTCTTTGTTCCATACAGACGGTCTTATAGGTGGTTACAAACTAATGACGAAGAGTATTCGGTTGTATTTCGTTTGTCGCTACCGTTTACTCTAGATCTGCCCTTCTTAAGCATCTCTTTATAGGTACACTTACCTCATCGCTAATAAAGGGCAAGACAAAAGGATTTTTGTTTGCCAACCCTTTCGTTTTGTGGCGTTGCTCTCCATTTAAACCTATCTTGTAGGGTTACTATTTCGTAACCATTGGAGATATTTATTTGTCGCACCAAACCACGCTATTCCTCCTTTAGTTCTTTATTGCGCACACAGATGTAGCTGTTCAAAACTTGTTTCAAATCTTGCCATTGCGTTTATTTCTAAAACAGAAGCTCCCGTTGTTCATTTGCTCTCTTTTCCACCCTTCACATATAGAGGGAACGTGTGAGAAACATATTTCGAACAGCCACCTCTGTATGCATAAATAGGGAACTAAACGAGGAATAGCGCGACTTGGCTTATTAGCAATGAACTAAGCATATCTCCTCTAAACGGTTTCCTCATCGTGGCTGAGAGGTGTTCCTGGGTGTCGGACTGCGATGCACAGCAAGGGGATTCGTCCCCCGGCAGGGTCTCCCAAGCTGGGAAGGAATGCAGCGTTTCCATCCGGAAGCCTAGCTAAGAGTAAACCAATACCAGGATCCACCACCGTTCTAGTTCGTAACCGCCTATATGGCCATCTACATGGAACACAAAATTGCGTAACATTTCAGGTACGACGTACCTGATTTCTTACAGTACTTGCAGAGATGAATATGTTGGCGAAGCGGGCAAACCTTTGTGTATCCGCATAAAAGAACATCTAGATGGAAAACGAGGAAGAAGAGAAGCAAGACAAAGTACCTCACTAGGCACGCATAGGATACGAAAGCATTGCGGAGACGATTTTGATGTAAAAATCAGTATCTTCGCACAGCAGACTGAAACACCAACGCGCAAACTTGTTGAGGCTTTTTTGCATAAATGCTTACAATCCTAGAATGAATAGCAGGAAAGAATGCCCAGAGGTCGCACCTGGTCTGGTCCTGTATCTTCGCATCGACTTTTGATGCAGAGTGGTGCGCCCATTATATGCGACTCTGATCAGCTCTTCTTCCTCAGCGGAAGGCACGTAAAAAGCGCTAGCTTTTTTGAGAAATTGTTGATCATGGGATTACCACTCATACTTTCGCCTTCCTGTTTGTGTTATAGAATCGTTTAGCATAATAAGTCGCGTATCAATATACCGTTCCAGGTTCGGAAGAAGGCAATAATGCAGAAACTTCGGCTTTACCGTAATAAGTAAAATAACACCTCGTATTTGCTCAAGAAGATGTAGAGAATTATTTGGCCAATACCGAAGTTAATAGAAGTCGGTTTTGGGAATTCTAAGTATTTTTTCTATGCGTGGTATCGAGTAAGCCTTATAAATGAACATCCTATTGGCAGTAATTTGACTACACTTTGTCACTGTTTCATATTCTGATTGATGAAATAACAATTTGTTATTTCTCTTCACGACTTTCGAGAAAACTACACATTAATATTCATATTTCTCTGTAGGGTGACTTATTCGATGAAAATGAGGAACGGTTGAAGTTGTGTCAAGGCGAACTAGCGACGACTAGGAGACAGGTTCATGTTCTACAGCAGAAGCTGATTAGTTCCTTGCAAGATAAGGTTTGTTTCACGGTGCGATGACGTTAGATGTTTTCAATCATTATCCGCATTATGATTTTCTCACTCATATATACATACCGGCTTACTAGAGGCGCATGTAGCGCAATGTTTAGGGATGTTCCTCAATGCAAACTGGATCGCTAGCTGGTACCTCCCGCTCCCGTGATTCGTCAAATTTTCGATCACTCTTGATTAAGCATATTCCTATTCGTCTGGTAGAATAGTAACGCTGACTTGATACATCGGTTGACCCCAGCAAGTCACTCTGTTGGCCAGATATGCATTCACTCATCTCTAAGGATCCTTGGTGAAATCGAATTGAAGGCGTAAACCTCATGGGTTGATCAAAGCCAAACACTTTGTCGCTTACCCTATATCCGCTTAGCAAACAACGTAATTGTCCATACCAATCGTTTTGGTTGCATCAATCAGCGCCCTTCAACGAAACCAAGTCGTTAACATCATCTGAGCTATTGCTTTAAATCCTTAGTTTATATTTGTTCAAATCTTAAGGCGGAGAAACGCTTGGAAGTCCGTCGTCATATAGGAAATATTGTGGATCCTGGTTCTGAACCCCAGAAGGTCGACAGAGGCAAACTTGAAGCATTTCGAGCAAAAAATGATGAGCTGTGTGGACAGGTGACAAACAAATTACGTGTCAGTCCCTCTTTGAACTTACCGTGTAATTTTATTTTGTTCATGTAATGCTTATTAAATCCAAATGTTGTGACCTGCGTGTAATTACTAATCATTGTTTCTGAGATAGCACATCGATTAATTGGTCAGGTTTTTGTCTTCTATAGCAATGTTTCACATTTTTAGAAATATATTCCCTTTATTATACATCATTTTTTCTTAACTAGGTGGCAACAACCGAAGAGGAGAAGGAGGTACTAGTTCGTGATGAACGCGAGCGTATTCGACACCTTGTGAGCGAGTTTGAGAATGTTCATCGTGAATTAGATCAAGTCTGTGGCGTTCATCTAGAATTCATTTTTTATTAGGAGTATTTGAGCTCTTAAACAGTTCTCGTTCTTAGGAAATGAATCGACGCGAGTCCGAGAAGACATGGTTGAGGACTCGTATTCGAAATCTTGAAATTGACAATGAAGAGCTACAACGTAAGATTGAAATTAGAGATGAACAAAGCGGTAGTACAATCAAGGATAGCTTTCTAACAACGTACGATGATCTCGAAATGAGGAAGAAACCTTTCCATCAATTACATCTCAGGAAAGCAGTATCTGAGCCTGATATGTGCATCGACAATAACGAAGCCTCCCACTTTGCCGAGAACATCCAACTCAGAAGGTTATCCGACTTACTAAGCTTGTTTGAAAAGTTGTTCTCGTAGTTTCTTCTTTTTTTTGTTTTGTGCCAGATCGAACTGACCAGGGCTCTGCTAAGACTTAGAGGGATACTCTTATCTTGCTTTAGAGAAGTCGATCGAGATCATAGCTCGTTGCGCAACACAGCACCTATTATAGATCGGTCTCATATATCACCAGAATTCGCCACTCTTGCCAATGACCTGAACCTTGTGAGTAACACTGATTTCACTTTATTCAAATAAATTCGTTCAAAATCATTCTAAGGTGAAGTCGGATTTGGAAAAAATACTGTCTTCCATGGACCATGCAACAACAAACGATACCACCAGCGATCGCATTGGTCACTCATCTCCTTCCCCTATCCATAGTGAAAGGTCTGTTGATGAAGAGGAGATATTGAATTCGGTAAGGAGTTGTTCGTTACTGTCGTTAACTGTCTGTTTTAGATAAATGCTTATTTTTAATTAGAAATCGAAAAGGACTTGGCAACAATATTTTGTGGATTACCCATATTTAGAGCTAAGTTACGATTGGTTAGGTATTGCGCTAGGTAATTTTTAAACTGGCCATCATTCAACCTCGGTGGTAAAATAGGTAGCTGGTAGGTTCTGGTAAGTAGTTCTTCCTGTTTTTATCCTTTTTTCCCCGGTCTTGAAGATGGAAAAAGTAGAGCAACTGTGATTATTTTGATAAATTGATGGTATTTAGCTGCATTGACTTGTGAAAAAGATGTTTATTAAAATGTTAGCAAGTTTTCCACGCACGATCTGATGTGCTTGCTGATCGTCATAATTCATAATTACTTTCGGATTTTTAGTTTCAGCTGCTGCTTTTGGGTTTTTCATGCTATTTATGAATGTCGTTGAATGCTTCCCAAGTTGACTTTCTTTCGAATCCTGCGCTAGTTGTGAAGCGGGGTCCCTAGGCCTTCATTAGAGGCGGTCACTAGCTTTTATAGATTTGAATGATCTCTTCCCAGAGAAGTCTGGTAGGTCGAAGTATAGTACAACAAGAGCCTTGCACGTGTTAATCGGTTTCTCTATCCGCGCTCCACTGTCCACATTAAGTTCCTATTTATTGAGAAGTTATTTAGTTATTTATTGATTACTCATTAATTTAAGGGAATAATATGTTTATAGATGATAATCTTCAATTTCCCGTCACCGTTGACATGATGATGATTTCTTGTTTCAGTGTGTAGCTGAGTCTATCTGAATCTATCTATCTACGCATTAATGAGAGAAGGAATTTTTTTTGTTATGATATCAGAATCATCGTTCTAGTATTGACTTATTAGTACGGCGTGGTTTTTTAGAGGGAACTAACCTTGCCGTGGCTTTACTTATATTTTTTGTGACATACTTCGAATTCATGTCGTTAGTTAGCTAGTTGTCGTTGCCATAGCTTTATATACATATATACGTATATGTATAATATGTGCATTTCTTTCGAACTGTTTACGATTTTCAGGACATTCTTGACACGGTTATGATTGATTGGGAAGCGGACGAGAAGAAACGTTTAATTTGTGATGTAAGACGATTAAGGCAAGAGGGTGGAATAATGAAAGTAAGCATTTTTTGGGGCACATGTGCATATATATGTATCTATATGCATATATATATATATATATAATCCGCCAGTGCCTCACATTGCTATTGTTGAGTTCAGTCTCGGATTGAAAGGTTGAAGAATCAGCTGAATGAAGCTCGTGCTGAGCTTGAGGTATACCGACGTGAAGGAGTGACGATGGTACGAAGTGCGATTGTACCTCCTTGTATGCCTGGTATTATACGTAGTAGCAGCGCCAGTGATCTCACCCATAATGTGATAAACAAGGATGAGATTCGAGTGTGAGTTATTAGAGAACTTAGTTGCTATACGAAAATTTCGTTTACGTTCCATATGCTACTGCTGTTCCTCTAGATGGAAAGAAAAGTGTGGCACCATGTTCCGCGAGTTGAACTCAATACGATCCGGCTACCAACAAGCACAAAATGAGCGACGAGAACTCAAAATACAGTTGGCGATGTTGCGTGGGGAACTCGAAATCGAACGTTGCCATAGAGAGACGTTAGTACAAAAAGAGACTGTCAATTCAATTCGCATGCTTACTTAATACTTTTCAGAGATGCGGAAAGTTCTGTTGTGTCTTCAGTATACTTTTCACTTCGAAGTCATAGCTGTCACTCTTCCAATCCAGTTAACCGGTAATAACACTTTAAAGTTTAAGAACGTTGTATTTTCTTAAGTCATTTTTCCATACCTCTTGGCTTCACTTTATGATAATCTCTTGGAAAATTTAGTGGACAACTTCGATTGGGTTCCAAGAGTGACTGATCTATTCCTGGGAGCTCTCATGATCAATATATTGATTTAGAGAATCACAGAACAGTATGTCCAGTCGTGAAAATCCTCTACCACTCGATTATCGTAGTACACAAGCGAAAATAGCCAAAAAAAGACGGCGTACTCGAAGCGAGCAACAAAAAGGTAGAAGGCGAAGCACAAAGACGGTGAGCAGATTCGAGTACAAAGTTGTTCGCTTACAGTTTGAAACCGTGGTTTTTTGCAGAATCGGCCTTCATCATTGTTTTCATTTAATACTTCGATGGAGGTCGCCAACTTAGGCGACTCTGCTTGGATGAAACCCAGGTTGCTGTTTTATTTTCGAATATTAGTCTTTTGGCAGCACAGTGATGTAAACTGCAGGCTGTCCTTATCCGAGTCTTGGTACGAGTCGAGTGGGCAGCGTATGGTATCCAGTGTCGACAATGATTATTGGCAATCAGTGTTGTATCGCTGTAAATCGCGTCTTGTATCGCTGCAAGAACGAGTCGATCAGCTTTTGCGGGAAAACCGCATGCTTCACGAGCAGCTGGCCGTTAAAAAAAGAGTTGTTCGTCATCGTTTATTGTTCAGATTATTCTACATCCTCAGAGAAGATGTGTACAGTCAGGAAATGCTATCAAATCTTTGATGAGCCAACTTGATATTGATCAGTTTGATCAGTTAGAACAAGAGGAGGAATCGTTTCAATTGAAAGTTAGAAAACTAGTCGTTAAATGCGAACAGTTATCAATATATGTGTATATATACTACATATATCTATGTATTCACAAATATGCATATATATAAAGGCAAATGGTGATCCTACCGTATTTGATCTATCCACAGGAATCATCGTCAGCAGAACATGCTTTGTCTGAGATGCGTGCACAATTGGAATTAATTCGAAACGAGAACGCAATGTATGAGAAAAAACTTCGCGATGTGGAAGAGGAAAGGTTACATGCTTTCCATTTGATTTCTGCTTTATACGAAATTCGGTATCAATCAACTTTCAGAAGAGAAATGTACTTGGTAATGTTCAAAAAAGGACAACAGGCAGCTGCGATGGATATGAAAGAGGTTTTTCAATTTGTGTGTACACATAGCGTAGTATATTGTAGCAGTTATACAGCGCAGACAGTTAGCTACATGACTCTAAGGGCGAGGAAATATCTATGAACCTATTCTGAACTAGCTAACTGTTATCAGATAAAAGAACGCGAGGAATCTTATTAATTTTCGTAAGATGAAGAATCTGATGCCGTTTCATTCGCAAGGCTATGTGAAGCGTCTCCAGATTGTAGATAGAGTGGGAGGTAAACCCAAACCAATATCGACGATATCTTTGCTTTGATAAGCGTGTGAATTCAGGAAATAGACCCAGCTGTGTGTTTTCGAATTATAAGTCCCGTTCAAGCGTGGCATACTCATGCGTATGTGCGTATATGCTTGCTTTGAGTGCGAACGAGGGCCTCTACTGCATGTCGATTCGTTAAAAAGGCTTGTATTCAAGTAAATGGGATGTGCAGGTGGTAATTCAAGGTCGGTTTTCAGCGTGTAAACACGGCGTCGCCTATGGGAAAGACAGGAAAGTTTCACACGACTTTACCCTGCTCAACATTACCTACTACGTTGCTCTTCGGTAACTTGCCGTTAGAAACAGTGAAATACAGGTTTTTGTATGAAAAATGTGGTACTGTTCGTGTCCTGCAAGACAGTGGAGCCCATTAGTCAGTTATGGCACGCGATAGTGACGGTTAGGAGGTTTACTTGTGACTCCTTGGGTTTCTTGTTGATTAGAGGAGTTCATAGTAAATATAGGTAAGAAAAGTGAATGTGCATACCCACACTATCTTACCTAACTTTTCTAGAGCTAAGTAAATACGTGGTTTTTTGTCCTATTCTTTAAAATGTTTTGTCTGTGCCATGTACTATAGTTATCTACATCTACCTGGAAGATTTATTCTGAACTAAGGTCACGAAATTGTGAATTGTTTGCAAAAGTAAAGCCCAAGTATGTCTGAGGTGAGTTTAGCAACTTTTTCATGGTAATGCGATTTCAACCATCGGATGTGGCATCACCTGTATCACTTGTAGTCCTGTTGATCGTCGAGTGACTCGAGCATGCGCCTGTAGATCTTTTGTTTTTCCATGTTGCGTGTAAGAGTGGGTTCTGTTCGCTTTAGGGACTCGTCGAGCACCATATCTTTCTTCTAGGCCCTTCGTGAAGAACTCTGGCCACCGGGTCGGTGGTACTCCTGCAGTTCGTTTGATATCCTGAGGAATCCAGTAACGGCTCTTGTCCATCGATTGTCATTCATACGCATTACGTGTTCGTTCCACCTTATCTTCGACTGTTTGGCGTACAGAACGGCATCTTCGATTTTTGATCGTTGACGCAGGTCGTATCTTCGGATCCCTTTCCTTACTTGTGTGGCATGTGGCATAATACTTTTAATTAACATTATGGCATCACTTGTATTTGATGCGTATTGTATGTCTTTTAGACGCTCTTGGTCCGCATTTTACTTTCAGTGATGTTTTTATTCTTAATCCAAATATTATAGATATTGTTGCTACTATCAATCCAAGCAGGACCAATGCAACTTTATTAAAATATATGTTTTGCAATTTCATATGCGAAATATTGTACAGGTCGCAGAAGTTGACCAAATGACGCAAGATCGTGTCGTGCTTCGATTTCTTCATGACGCTTTCTACTACTATCTCATGGACAAAGGAAACGCTAAGGAGCACCTACAAGTTGGTTGTTATATTTACGTTCGCTGATGGACTTCTCTTCATTTTCACGTTCATGAAACGTTTCAGGCTATCATGGCTATGCTTGATTTCAGTATGGAGCAAAAAGATGAGGTGATCAAGAAGAAGAGTAAATCTCATTAGCTACGAAGTATCATTCGGATTTCTGACATATGAATTTCACGTGAATTCAGCACAGGTCATTTCTTCTCGCCGCTCTTCCCAACAATCATAGTCTCGTAATAGTTTTTGAATTCCTTTGAACTATTAGGTCAGAGTGATGAATTTTATGCCCTTTTCGGCAATGAATTTTTACATTTTTGTCTATGCAGTAATAAAAACCGTCACATCTCGGTCAACTGACTAAGAACAGAAGAAAAGGCGGCCGTAATTCGTCACACGCATCCGGTCATTCCATTTGTCTATCTTGTGTTGTTTCCAGTGCAGAAGAATCTCACGACGAGTTTTCCCGGTGATGTTCACTTTTCGTTACGTACATGTTTTTTCTTCCTTTCTTTTTCATTACCTTCCCGTAAAAATGTTTTCATATTTGTCTACTACAGTATAATTTCAGTTTCATATGAAATATATGTATGAAATTGTAATAAACATTTCAAAAGAAATATCTTTGCAGGTGTATAATTATTTCGTTTTTATCTCACATAACCCGTCATCACATCTAGTGTGCGGATACGAGCACTTCTTGCATTCGATTCCTCCTCCGCTCATCCATCCTTCACAGTGGTCTTCGAACATTTCGCGATGTTTTGCCTGTTGCTTAAGGATTTCGTCTTCCTTATGAATCTCGTTGGTCGAGTCGATTCTCCTTGCAATCTTGGCGATAGCTGGGCTATGACGTTTCCACTTGTATTGGAGGAAAGCGTTGTTAAGGGTCAAACTGCTGCCTTTGCTTCCTAATCGACGGCACCGCTAACTACTATTTTATCCTTTCCGCATGTAATTATTAGTATTTCGAAGTATTATGTTGAAATTCGGAGATTACGGCAGTGAGGTAATATTATGATATGGATTGAGCATCACAACATACTCTGCTTTCACTTCTTAGAGTAGAATACTAGAGAAAGGTATGGGTTTCAACTGAATTTTTTCTCTTAGGAATTAGAACTAAAGAATTGAAAACTTTTGACGACTGCTGTGAGACTAGTACTAAAATGTGACTTAAGAATAGTTATGCACTTGCATCATCCATTTTTTTATCATCCATTTACATATTTATTTTGATGACTCGTATTCACGAATTATTAAGAATCACGCTGGGATTCAATTTGAGTGGCATTCCTGGTTGCGCTAGATTTCGCCCACTTTGAGTCTCGAAATCCATAGTATAGTTTTCTTAGATCCATTATCGCAGTGACTCTATTCACTCTCAGCTGTAATTCTGGAGACGGATGTTGAACTTCTTAACTTTAACGACCTTATTGGTTAACGGATCATCTGGTAGTCCCTATTTTGACTCCCCAGGAAAGCCTTTGCACTCAGATCACATGGTATTGAGATCTATATGATGGCAGAGGCTAACTTACGAGAAATCAAGATAAGATCACAATTTTAATATCCTTTTCATTCTTGTGGAATGAACTGTTTTATACAAAATAACTAAATTCTATCTTTGAAGCCGACGTGCATGTGGGGAGGAGGCTAGGAATGTCTGTTGGTGGTTCTTATCACATTCTTCTTTTCAGTCTTCAATAGTCCATAAGTACGTACCTAAAACAAGTGGAGTGATTTAGGCTGTAATCCTATACTAGGAGTCATTCTATCGGTGGTCCTATGATATTAGACCATTTAAAAATACACTAATGAATTAATGATCGAATCGTCAATAAATACGCTCGCTAGTACTATCTACGGGAAAAATTCTATACAGACGTTGCAACCACTACTTAGGTGTTTTTCTTATTTGGAGTTCGCAGACAGGTGTTTCAGGAGAGGAGAAGTCATTAAATCCTTAGTAATATCGATCACTTGAGAATAGAATAATGCCCTTAGAAATAAGAATTCAGGATGTGAAGTCAAAAATTTTGCCTTTTTATCAGAAGAAATTGTAAATAATGGAGAACGGAAACCTTAGAGACTTCGTCCACATTGTCGAAAACTCGATCACTTTTTAGGTCCAAGTTCGCAAGTTCTGAGTCAATGCTGGAAAAACAGCTTCTATCTCGACAAAAGTTCTTAATATTGACCATATTATGAGACCTGTGAAGAAACTGCAAATTGTAGGAATTCTCACTATTCTTTTTTCATGGAAAGGCATGATATGAAATATAACCACAGTGTTATACCTTTTTATTTTCTGCCTACTATGATTTCGCGGCAGGGTACCAGTAGGCAGAAAATAAAAAGGTATAACATTGTGATTTCAACTACAGCCGCAGCTTAACTGGGTTCTATGCCGATTTGGGCGCCCCAGATCAATCCCGCTGATGGGTGATTGCTGTGGCAAAGATCGATAGAAATAGCTGAGAGACAGGCGAAACAAAGGACCTGCATGGTGTGGTGGTGAACGCGTTACTCCCCGGAAAGGACAATAGCGCGTTGGTTCCCCACCATAGACATCTGCGGTCTAGAGTTTCGCAAATATCTCAGCAACGTTGTGGTTATAACCACAGTGATGCTCAGACATTTGCAAAACTCAGGTCCGCAGGTGTCGTGGTGGGGATCGGACTGGCTATTACCCTTTCCAAGAGCTAGCACGTTCACCACCAAGCCATGGGGGCCCTTCATCTCACATCTCTTTGAGTTCAGTAAATATTGAATTCCAATAAATATTGTAATTTGTCATTGTTACGCACTATAAAAGAACTCAACTGTTGAAGGAAGGCTGGAAGAATCGATTTGCACCATATCAGGGAATCAGAAAAGTGCCCTTTTAAACCTATCGCGATTGGGCTCGTGTAGCTCAGTGGTTAAAATTGCAATGCAATAAACAAGTTGTCACTGCTTCAACCGTGCGCTCTGGACTAACCAGAGCCTTAGTCCATTCAGGATTGGTCTATATGTACCAGAATTCACAATGTTTATTTGTTTATTTACTGCCTACCATAACTTCTAAGCTACGGTATTATGTGGAACCAACCACAGCGATGCTGTTCACAAACTATTATTAAATAGCAAAACAGATATTCGCAAAACTCCCTGTCTTCCCAGATCAATCCCGTTGATGGGTGATTGCTGATGGCACTGGTAGATAGGAAACTAGTGGGAGGAACATAGAGCAAGGGCCTGTGCGGCGTAGTGCGTAATTCGGGAGCCTTTACAAAGCGAAGTCTTGGTCCAAACTGGTCCGCTGTTCGAGTTTTGCGAATATCTCAGCATCGTTGTGGTTGCACCAGAAATGTTTGGGAGGTTGACTACAATAAATTAATACGTTGCTAGACTCCCAGAAGTCAATTGTATAGAGTGAATACGCATTAAATTTACCTCTACTATGTTATGAACGGAGTCGAACGTATGGCGCATTGTCAAGGATTCGGCGGAAGCCGAACGTTTTGTCCTTTTTATTTTGTCGCATTTGCTTTAGAACTTATTTAAATTATTAACAGGGTAACTAGCTTCAACGATAAGCGAACGCTCTATGTGGGAGCTGCACCCATATCATTGCGCTTACATTTAAGACCATGGAAAAGTCAAAACTGGGGATCTACACGACAGTCATTATAGACGCTCAGCAACACAGTCAACAAAAGATTCAAAATTACCTGGGCATTTTAACAATGTTTTCTTCTTCATACGTCCTTATGAGTGGTTTTTCGATATGTTTAAATTCGCAACATGACATTATTTTGCCAATAAGTTGTATCTTATGACGTTTCACCAGTGGCCGCTCACCAATCGAGTCAAATACTACTGAAAAAGAATCTATTAAAATTCAGTGATTCATTTCAGAACAACAATTTATCTAAAAGTAGTTGAACGACTAGTGAGCGTTATTAACAGATTAAAACATTTTTAGAGTTTAGTACACTTTAAAGATATAATCCGCCTTAAGTATTAAGTATCACATTTGATTAATATTTCCGAATATGGATGTTCGTCTTGTTTAGGACAATTGCGAAATCAAATGATATCGTGAGCAGTTTGATGCCAGAACTTCTACAGCTTATCATGAAGCCGTAGCCCAGCTCGTCAACCCTACAGGCCACAGTTCGCAGCTACTACCACCCAAATATCCCTCGTCCACCAACCACTACAAAGGAAATTTTTTAGTAAGGTCAACCGATGAAAATCGCAAGTTAATTCCTAAAATACAAAACCTTCACATTAAGGTGCTGTTCAGACGGCATTTGGTCTTTGTTCATATTGTCGGCAAAATTAACCAAAGTCCGCAACGAGGACGAGGAGTATATACCATTTTATGGCTAATATCAATAAAACTAACAATATGAAGTTTGCAAATCCTTATAGAATGTATATTCTGCTCAGTCCAACGTTTATTTAAAAAGCTGCTATCCTTGGACAATTACAACTTCATCGACAGAGAGAGAGGGAGGGAAATCCATTTGAAAACCCACGAAACCGTTTTCTATCCAATGTTTGGGGCAAAAGGTAAGATCTAAGTAAACCACATTACTTTATACCTATCAAAAACACCAGAACTTGTTGTTCTCAGTGTTTCTCGTAGATTTTGCTGCGCACACTACTAAAGTGTCTGGTGAGCAAATAAGGCTGGGGCATTTGGTCTGTACCTATCATTGCAATTTATCGAGTTTTGAAGAGGCCTTTCAGACGATTATTCTACGTTTTAACTAGAACTCACACTGTCCTGTTGAGTCAGCTGCCTTTGGAGAATTAAAATTAGCTGGACTTTCTGGGTTTTTCGATCCAACAACTTTGCGCCATAAATCAAAATCGCTAGCTGATCGATTTTTCGTACCTAGAAGTATATTCGAATAAAAGCCACGATCACCATCATCATCATTGTTATGAAAAAAAAGCGGTCAAACGCGAAAAAAATAAGAATAAAGGCTAAACGTTGTGAAATCGTCTGTGAGAAATATCTTAAAAACAGACGTTCACCAGAGCTCGATAACAACAATCAACAATTTTCTATACCACTGCGCTGACACAGGGTTGGTTCAAATCTTTTATTCGGCTAACATTTGGTCTTCTTCAAATCCGTGTTGATCCGAGTCGATGTCCCGCAGCTGGCCATTGTCACGATGTGGGTGTTCGTTGTTGCATTGAGTCATAGCCAGTGCAGGGAGCACGGGTACGTGCCAGCAAATGAAATACCGCATGCTATAGCACGCATGCCCGCCCAAAGCAGATCACATTGGAGGTGGCCATCAACCATACCATCAAAATCAATGGATCAACATCCGTCCTACATAAAGGATCACCAAGGAGTGAAAATCCTCGTTCGAGTGATGCTATTTCCATTGGGTTCGACTCGATGCAATAACGAATGCCCACACCGCAACGACGACCAGATGTGGGCCATCGATTCGGTTCAACGAGGCTTTCAAGAAGGTGAAGCCTCTAAAAAGTCACCCGAATAAAACTTTCATATCAACTTTGTGTCAGCTCTGTCATGTAAAAAATGGTCCGGAAAAACAACCACAACGGTGCTGAGATAGTTGTAAAACTTCGGACCGCAGGTGTCTGCAATGGGGAGCGAACGAGAGTATTACTCTTTCCGTGGTCTAACGCGTCCACCACCACACTGGTCCTTCGTTTCGCCTGTCTCTCAGCTAGTTCTATCAATTAGTACCATCAGCAATCACCCGTCAACGGGATTGATCTGGGCAACCTAAGCCGGCATTGAACCCAGTTAAGCTGATGCTGTAGTTGAAATCACAGTATTTTTTTTATTTGCTGCCCACTACAATTTTTTGTGGCAGGGTATTATGCGGACTTTTGCAAATATCTCAGCACTATTGTCGTTGTATTTCGCATGATACCCTGCCATAAAAAACTGTATTAGGCAGCAAATAAAAAATATAGTCTGGAAAAAGTTTGATAAAAATGGAAGATAAACTGATAGCTGGAAATCAGTATAATTCAACAACGCTAGCGCAAAAAATGGAAGTAGCTCATTTCTCTGCTTTTACTCTGTGCACATAACTTAATAAGCAGTTATGGGTCTAGTCAGCTTTGCTAAAGAATCTTCCAGAAATCAACGTTAACCATTTATCCTCATAACGCGACGAATCAAGTAGACGACAATTGTTAATTATTCAAGGAGCTGGAAACGTAGAAAAATATACCTACGAAGTAATTTCAGTGCATTCGATCTGTCTAAGAGTTCTTCATCTTTAACAAACTAGCAAAAGTCGTAAAAAACGAAAAGAGAAAGTGCTTTAGTAAAAATTTCAGCGAACAAAGCATCTCGACATTACCCACCTACGTTGATTTAGAATGATTAAAACTCGTACCTGCACGTTTTTTAGCTTCTGTTACATAAGGAAATCGGTCAATAGGCTGTATCCTTTCAATGTAAGCAATGGCCATCGTACATTACCTCATGAGAAAACCTGTTCATAAAATTGATGGTTTAACTATTGCACGCCTGAACTACTGAAGAACCCAGCCCGTACGGTCTGTCTACCGATTATCATGAAGGTATATCACGTTTCTGGCCTACTTAGTTTTCAACATCCTACTAACACCTCGAAAGTTTAATCGCCCACATAAACCAGAACGTAAAATCTCCTCTCCCTTACTTTTGCAGCATAAGATACTCCTACTATCTCTCCCTGGATAGCTTATTCCATAATTCTGGAAGCTCATTCATTCTGCATATGCTGCGTCATCTTTTCCGATGCTTATTCTGAGAAAGGTAGAAACAAAAAGGCGACTTGTGCAGTAGTAGTGATACTATTCATCACGAACACGGTGCTGGTTTGACTTGAAACTGGGATTACAAAGCTTTCCATCAGTCCGAGGTCAGAAAGTTAGCACTAGGCTTATTTGGCATTTACCCATCTTCACCATTATTCAATGACGCTCATAAACAAGGACGAGAATCCTCAAACACCAGCCGAATTCGCATGCCAAAAAAGGTTCCAAAAAAAGAAAAACCCCGGAACCTTCAGCGTTAGACACATTATCAGTTGTGTAGGCGGGTCTACCGATAGAATAACTAACTTCGTTAGCAAACCTAATTCTCAACCAGTGAGCTTCTTGAGTAACACGAAGGAGTAATAGAAATGTGTGGCTTTACGATTTAGCAGCTCATGGTTATCTTAAAGCTGTCCCTAAACTGCTCAATCTTCAGATGATCAGAGAAATATTACGCAGAAATTAGGTTGACAATGGGAATACAACTGGCTAAGGTGGAAGCACCAGTAATCGATCTCTGGGCATTTCGCTACTGCAAGTATATAGGTTGTCATCTGCTCCACACTAGAGGAAATGGACAAATGCTTCGAGTTACTGAACGGGCAGTCAGAGTATATTAATTTCACCTGAGAGAAACTGAAGGAAAACTGGTTTCCATTTCTAAATGTTCGAATTTGCCTTTCCGTAAACGACTACACTACAAAATGGTACCGGAAGCCAAGTGGTAAAACTATACTGGTCCGTTACCTCTTTTCTCACCACTCACCTACCAAAAGGGCGCTTAAAGGAAATATGTTTTCAACCGCCACCAACATGTGCAGAGGTAGAGAGCAAAAGGAAAAAACCTTTAAACCGGCGCGGCAAATAGCCACTGCGAATGGCTACGATACTGTAGCTCCTCGGGATAGGCATAGAGGAAAAACTACGGCGAGAAACGACAATCCTAGCGAGAACAAGGCTTTGTTCATCTACCCCTTTATTTCGAACGAAATAAGTGCAGCTATAAAACGTTGCTTGAGAAGGGGTGGTTTAGCGAATTCGTCAACAGTGTTTGAAATAACACCGGACATTTCAAGATGCCAGCTTGTTCATTACTGCCCGCATGACCGTCTGTGCACAACCCAAAATTGTACAATATTCTCTAGCAGTAAAGATGGTGACTACATGTGTTCAGATACGGTGTACCTAATCTTTTGTAAAGCATGTGTGGACGAATACGCTCGCGAAGCAGGTAGACCATTCTACGTGCGTTAAAAGAAGATCTACTCGGTAAATCTAAATTGAAACCAAACACTGCACTAGGCCGGCATAGGATGCAGGAACACAATGGAGAAAATTTTGAAGTAGACGTCACTATCCTCACACAGGAATCTAAGACATCAGCGCGTAAAACTCTTAAAGTGTTTTGGATTAATTCCAAAAATCCAAAAACCCAGCGTCATACCTCAGGCTGATTCAATGACCTGACACAGGCACAGTCAGCGCCCATATATTATAATACTCTGTGTGGCTGCTCTCCGCCAAGTAACTGGACGACTTGCAGAGAATAAAACTATGGGTGTTCAAGAGAAACTACTTGTTATGCGAATGCAAATTTATGTAATTTTCTTCGTATTTTCGTTGAGCAAACGCGAGGTGTTATTATTCTTTGTTCACGATTAAGCTGACGTTTCGGCGGATTTCGCCTTCCTCAGAGCCGCTTCCTATGAGGTTTCCATTAAGTATGTCACGTAGAGACCAACCATTATACTATATACTATACTATACTATATATACTATACTATACCATTATACTTCCATGTGATTTCTGTGCGGTTGGTCCGCCGAAACGTCAGCGTATTCGTGAATAAAGAATAATAACACCTCGCGCTTGCTCAACAAAAATACGAAGAATTACTTGATCAATGCCGAGGTTAATAGAAAGTCGATTGTGGCAGTTACTGCAAATTTATGTGTTAAGTTTTATCTGCGAAGGTTATAAATTTTGAAAGTGTTTGGCTGAGTAGACTGCATGTCAATTTTACCTTCCTAGGTTCTGAAGAAGGCGAAACCGCTGAAAGCTCGGCTATTGTATCCTAATGAATTCTAGAATAACAACTTCGTACTTTTTGTCGAAGAAAAACAGTGAGTCCTACAACTGTTATCAATGCTGAATCGTTAGCGAAATTTTTGACTGAAATTTCATTTGGCAGATGCATAAATACGGAAGATAACGTCTTCTTCATAGTAGCGACAACGCAAGAAAATGACCCACTCACTAATTCGATAACTATCAGTTCCGCCAATGAGGACGTCCCGAGCTTTGCTGCTGAAACCACGATGAGGAGCAATTGACGTTTGTGGCTGCCCTTCGCACATTCATGAAAACAAATAAATTTCGAAAAAACAGACTCAACAGTCGTTTACATAGAACTCTTACACTTATATTGGGTCATACAAAGAGTTCCGAAACAGCAGGCCAAAAATTTGAAATTCTCTGAATTTACGCTAAATAGTGAGATTTCAGCTGAATTATGTATAATTACAGCAATAAGCAATTGCTACAGCGACGGATGGAGTGCTGTTAATTGTGTGAAGGCAGGTATTCGTGTTAAGAGAAATAAACTAAATTCAGAAAAAAAAAGGAAAATGAGAAGAAGGAATGCACAGTGAAAACGGAAAAGAGGGCAAAAACACAAAAACGCAACAATACTGTGAAACTGACGGATGATAAAAAGAAAAGTCCAGTAAGAATAAGAACAGTTTAGTCTCTCAAGCACAAGTATGTATCAACAAACATTCCGCACGAGTGGTGAAAAGGACGTTAATGGTAA